ATCTTGGGCTTATAACTTACGTTGTTAGATGATAACTTTTGCTAGTAGTTTTATTCCCCTGTTAGGGTCTGTGTTATCCCAGCTTCTTTCTGGGTTATTTTTTCCTCTAGGGCAGAATGCTTTCCACGTTCCAGAATTAAGTAAGGAATTGGAAACTGACACTAGTTATAATTCTGAGTTAAAGAATCAGGCTGTGATCTACCCTGTCCATTTCCTTGCCTGGGGGTGAGTGCCTTTGTGACTAAGTGTGAGAGTCTAAAAGAAAAGAACTAGACATGGTATGGTTTTGCCTAGGGAGGATGGTAATTTTATTGACTATTAATTAGAATGTTGAGAAAAAATACCTTTGATAGGGTTTTTAGGTTATTACATTTAAAATATCACAGCTCTTTCTCAGTTATTTAGAGAAGAGTTGAAAAATTTCATGAAGGTTATATTTAATTGACATAGGGGAAAATGTAAGGTGGCTAAAGTGAGGATGACAGTAGGTTTGAATTCCTTCCTCACTTGTAGTTTGTCACTTCTCAGTCACCTTGGTTGAGATCACAGAGTTGGATGGTTTGTATTTCCGTGGCTTCTAGTCTTTGTCAAGGCCTTTAAAAAGAGCAGTGGTTCCCATCTAGAAGGCTGGGCTAATTACAGTATTTCAGAAAGCTTAATGGAATTTATATGTTTACCCAATTTAAGAATATACAAACTAAAGTTACTTTGCCTGGAATCATGTCACCTCAGGGTTTAAATACTAAGTCTTTCTTATCGATTGAATACTTTGCTGGCAGTTACATTTTGTTTTTTTTTAAGAAAATGAAAATTAGTATTCTTAACATATGCAGATTAGAAACGAGCTTGTGAAAGGAAAAAATAACTAAAAAGAAGGAGACTTTGGTTAAAAGGTTGATATAGAGTATTTCTATTATGCTGTATGGCTTTATTTCTTTATCCATTTACTAGGGGTTGATGTTGTTGGCTTTGTCAAATAAAAGCACAGTTTGTATTTTAGTGCTTGGTTTTCTTTTTTTTTTCTTTTTTTTTTTTTTTTTGAGGCGGAGTTTCGCTCTGTCGCCCAGGCTGGAGTGCAGTGGCCGGATCTCAGCTCACTGCAAGCTCCGCCTCCCGGGTTCACGCCATTCTCCTGCCTCAGCCTCCCGAGTAGCTGGGACTACAGGCGCCCGCCACCTCGCCGGGCTAGATTTTTGTATTTTTTAGTAGAGACGGGGTTTCACCGGGTTAGCCAGGATGGTCTTGATCTCCTGACCTCGTGATCCGCCCGTCTCGGCCTCCCAAAGTGCTGGGATTACAGGCTTGAGCCACCGCGCCCGGCCTAGTGCTTGGTTTTCAACCAAGTAAATATGTGAAACCTCCACAGTAACTGCTATAATTTCTACCAAAGAGTCACACTGTTTCACTGACTTTATTGCTTCTAAATTTCTTGTTCCTGTTTTGCTTTAGTGGTTGATAACTGGAAGCACAACTTAAAACATTTCTGGATGTATCTTCACCAATTTCTCCAACCCTTAGAATAGTGTGCTTAGTGCTCAATAAATGTTTGTTGAAGTAACAAAATAACACATGTAAGTAGTAATTAAAGTTGAAGTAAATGTTACATTATAAAGCAGTTAGAAGTAGTATGCTATAACACTTAACATTTCTGTCTGAGATTTAAGAGATTATTAGTAATATGGAAAGTATAATACTGTACCTATCCACAAAGGTGTATTTCTTTGTTTTGGTAGCTAATTGACATTCAACTTTCTTAAATGTCCATATTTTTACTCCATAATCTTACTTTAGCATTTTGAATTTTATTTTTTATTTTTATTTTTTGAGACAGAGTCTCTCTGTGTCACTTAGGCAGGAGTGCAGGGGCGATATCTCGGCTCACTACAACCTCCGCCTCCTGGGTTCAAGCAATTCTTCTGCCTCAGCCTCTGGAGTAGCTGGGATTACAGGCATATGCCACCACACCCAGCTAATTTTTGTATTTTTAATAGAGACGGAGTTTCACCACGTTGGCCAGGCTGGTCTTGAACTCCTGACCTCAAGTTATCCACCCACCTCAGCCTCCCAAAGTGCTGGGATTATAGGCATGAGCCACCATGCCCGGCCTGAACTTTATTGTTGAATAAAATTATTTAGGAATTCAGTAATATTATGAAGTAGGTTACGTGGCAAGAAAACTGCTGAGTAATCAGAGGAGTGGAGAACCTTAGGCCTCTTTCATTGGTCCTTCTGCCATATTATCTAGGAGTTACAGATTAAACTGTGGTAGTTTGTAACCTCATTATGTCACAGTTTTAAAATCTCCTAAGGAATGTACCTCAGGTGAGGAAGCAGATGTGTCTATTAGGGCCTGATGTTATTCTGTAGAGGAAGGAGCAATGCTGCTTGGGGAGTAGATTTTAAATTTCATATAGAGCATCTTTAACAGGGACTTGAGGAAAGTGTGCTAGTGCTAGAGGATTATGAAAGAGTCAACCATTGTTGAGTCTTAATCTAAACCCCTGGTGTTTTCTTTTCTCTTGCCCTTTTTTTTTTTTTTTTTTTTTTTTTTAAGAGAGCCTCACTCTTGCCCAGGGTGAAGTACAGCTCATTATAACCTCAAACTCCTGGGGTCAAGGAATCCTCCTTGCTGTGCCTCCCAAGTAGCTGGGATTACAGGCATGAGCCACAGTACCCAGCTAATTCTTTCATTTTTTGTGGAGACACTATGTTGCCCAGACTGGTGTTGAACTCCTGTCCTCAAGAGATCCTATGACCTCAGCCTCCCAAAGTGCTGGCATTACAGGTGTGAGCCACTGTGCCTGGCCTCAAACCCCAGTATTTACTCAGCCTGGTTACTTAATTCACATGTTGTAACCCAAGATGGATAGTTCCATTTGGAATAATCAACAAATACTTTTGAATTGCTTATGGTATATCATATACTGTTCTAAGTGCTAGACAACTATACTAGTGAACAAACTATACAAAGTCCTTTTTCTCATGGAATTTAAATTTTAATTGGCAGAGACAGAGAATAACACATACTATGTCAGGTAGTAAAAAATACATGTTCCAGATATTGCTTGTTCTTAAACTATTCCAAAATTTACTGGCTTAAAACAACTATTGTATTGTGTCTCACAATTCTGTGGGTTGAAAAGGGCTTATCTGGATGGTTTATGTATTGGTCTCACTTGGGGGTCTCTCATTGGTGGCTGGACCTGGAGCCCCCAAGATGGTTCACGCTTCTGGCTGTCAGTTGGTCCTGGTTGTTGTTTGGGTGCTCAGTGGGGGCCTCAGTTCTTTTTTTACCTGGCCTTTCCCTGTGGCTTTGGCTTCTCACAGCACGGTGGCTGGCTTTCAAGAAGGAGCATAACAAGTGGGCAGAGGCAGAAGGTACAGATTTCTGAAAGCCCAGCCTCATAAGTTATACAGCATCACTTCTGCCACATTTTATTGATCATAATAGTTCACAGGGAGGGGAAACAGACTCCATCCACCTTTTCATGGTTGGGGGCAAGATCACAGTGCAAAACAGCACATGGGGTAGCAGATATTGTTGAGGCCTTCTATGGAAACATGATCTCCCATAATGCTATAAAAAAATTGAGCAGATTAATAGGGGAATAGAGAAACTGGAACTATGTGGAGAGGTGGGGTGTCAGAATGTGCAACGTTACGTAGAAGGTCAGGCAGGACCTCTCCCATAGGCAATATTTTAGATACCTGATGAAAATCAATGAGCCACGGGAACCATAAGGACTTTTTAAGGAAGAATATTCCAGGCAGAGAACAGGAAATGTGGAGGTGCTAAGGTGGGAGGATCTGTGATGTGGTCAAAGAATAGCAACGAGGGCAATGCGAGTGCACTAGAATGATAGAGGAAGAACAGTAGGGCGTGCGAATGATTCAGAGAAGAAGAGAGAAATAGATTTTGTGGCCAAAGCAAAGACTAGGTTTTTTTCTTCTTCTTCTTTTTTTTTTTTTTTTTTTTTTGGCAAAGACTAGGTTTTCTGTGAGTGAGATGGATGCCGTTGGAAAATTCTGAGCAGAGGAATTACATGCAGGTTGAGTTCCTTTATCCAACATGCTTGGGACCAAAAGTATTGTGGATTTCAGATTTTTTTGGATCTTGGAATATTTGCATACTTACTGGCTGAACATCCCAAATCGGAACATTCCAAATCTAAAATGCTCCAATGGGCATTTCCTTTGAGCATCTTATTGACACCCAAAAAGTTTCCGGTTTTGGATCATTTCAGATTTCAGATTTTTAGATTTGGAATGTTCAACCTGTGTATGTTCTAACTTAAACTTTTTTTTTTTTTTTTCTTCAGACGGAGTCTTGCTCTGTCACCCAGGCTGGAGTGTAGCGGTGCAATCTCGGCTCACTGCAACCTCCGCTCCTGGGTTCAAGCAATTCTGCCTTAGCCTCATGAGTAGCTGGTATTACAGGCGCCTGCTACACGCCCAGCTAATTTATGTATTTTTAGTAGAGACGGGGTTTCACAATGTTGGCCAGGCTGGTCTCTAACTCCTGACCTCGTGATCTGCCCGCTTCGGCCTCCCAAAGTGCTGGGATTACAGGTGTGAGCCACTGCACCCGGCTGTTCTGAATTAAACTTTAAAAGAATGTTCTTCTAAGAATCTTTGGCTACTCTCAAAACACTGTTTTGAGAATCAGCTGTGAGAGGACAAGAGCAGAAGGAAGGAGTCATTTCAGTAGTAGGGTAATGCCGTGTGGGATGATAGGTGTGCTGGGTGGTGAGAAGTGGTCGGAATTTGGCTATATATCAAAGTAGGACTGACAGTTTCCTAATGAGGGTGGATATGGGGTAAAAAAGAAGGATCAAGGATGGCTCCCAAAATGTTTACCCTATGCACCTGGAAACGGGAAGACTAGGGGAGGAGTAAGGTGGAGGTGAGGAAGACAAGACTTGTAATTTTGGCTATGTGAAGATGAATGCAAGAAAGTATCTGAGGAGAAAAGGTTACTAAATGTTACTTCCTCATTGCAGGTGTGACGTTGAGTGCTTCAGATCTGGTCACTATGGTACGAGAACGAAAATGCATATTGTGCCACATTGTGTACAGCTCAAAAAAGGTAATAATGGAAGAGGAAGAATCTGAGGCTTTATGACTATTTTTTAAAGAGACATGTGTTATTAACAGATGGGAAAAGCTTGACAATGTCTTATTTATGCTTCTTTCCTAAACCATAGTCTCCATTCCACTGGTTTCTTTCTCGTTACTGCCTCCTAAAGCCAGTGCCTGTATTACTAAACTTCTGTCCATCCAGAATTTGAGGGTATTCAAAACTAGATGACCTAGGGAAATTTAGTAACCAGTTATAGGGAAGATACCTTAAAATTCCAAGGTTATTTGAAGTTATACTGCTTTCTGCAATTTTAAAATCATGTACTTGTTGATTAGCTAAGGATATAGCATTTGTTATATGTACCTACATTCTGTTTATGCCTATACTTGTGGGAAATGCAGCACAGCAGAAATAGTGTTAACAATATCTTAGATGTCCACAAGGTGGGGATGTTGCTCAAAGAAAATTTTTTTTTTTTTTTTTGAAATGGAGTCTTACTGTGTTGCCCAGGCTGTAGTGCAGTGGCACAATCTCAGCTCACTGCAACCTCTGCCTCCCAGGTTCAAGTGATTCTCCCACCTCAGCCTCTCAAGTAACTGGGATTGTGCTGCCGGGCATGACTGACTTTTGTATTTTTAGTAGAGACGGAGTTTCACCATGTTGCCCAGGCTGGTCTTGAACTCCTGACCGCAGGTCACTCACCTGCCTTGGGCCTCCCAAAGTGCTAGGATTACAGGCATGAGCCACCGTGCCCGGCCAAAACATCTTTTTAGGACCTAAAATTGACTGCAATTTGTGTCACTTTTTGCCTTTGCCTGCCTTTATCATTTGCTTTCAGAGTAGTGCTGCTAGTTTAAATACTGAGGAATTTATTCTCTTTGCTTTTAAGATGCTTTTGATTGTCATTGGAAATTCAGAGAACTGGGAGGATCATGGGCTAGGTTAGCCAGGGTGTGAGTGGAAGTGGTAAACTTTGAAAAGCGACTAGAGTAATGATGGTTTAAGAGAAATGAGGAAGAGATATTTTAGGTAGGAGAACAACATGTACAGAGACAAATGGAATGGAGTATGACAGTTCTAGGAGCTGGCAAGAAGGCTCATCTGATTAAAAGAGTTTTGCCTTGGGAATAGCAGGACTATAATTTGTAATTTAAGTAAAGACAGTCGATAAACAGTGTTGGATGCCAGATTGAAGGGTTGATTATGATCCACCAAGTAGACTTGGGTGGATTCTATTTTTTTTTCAGTCTAGATTTCTGTTGGTGATGGAAAAATCAGTGAGATTTAAAAATCATGTAATATCAAGCCTGTAATCCCAGCACTTTGGGAGGCCGAGACGGGTGGATCACAAGGTCAGGAGATCGAGACCATCCTGGCTAACACGGTGAAACCCCGTCTCTACTAAAAATACAAAAAACTAGCCGGGCAAGGTGGCAGGCGCCTGTAGTCCCAGCTACTTGGGAGGCTGAGGCAGGAGAATGGTGTAAACCCAGGAGGCGGAGCTTGCAGTGAGCTGAGATCTGGCCACTGCACTCCAGCCTGGGCGACAGAGCAAGACTCCGTCTCAAAAAAAAAAAAAAAATCGTGTAATATACCTGCTACTATTTACCAAAATAAAAGAATGCTCTTCTAGTTTTAAAAATTTGATGAAGGTTGACACAAATTGTAAATAAGTCGGAATTCCTTATGACTACTTTCAGGTTGGACAGAGGTAAGGAGAAGATGTGAGATGGATAGGCTGCTGCTCAGAGACGTGGTATCAGAGTTTCATGGAATAGCAGTCCTATCTTGGGATACCATGATTTTGTGCTTTTGCCATTTTAAATCTTTTTGGCTCTTCTACTCTGGTTTCAAACATACTTTTATCTCTTCATACTTTTCCATGATCATAATGAAGTTAAATGAAGGGCTGGAATTGTCTACTCCTACCCTAGGAAAAGCTGATTGTAGTTTTTGTTTATTTTCTTTCTTTTAAAAAAAGGAAAAGCTGGTTGTAGTTTTCCCCCCCGCCCTTTATTTTTTTAAAGCAAGGGAATGGCCTGCTTTAAGTGAGCAGTATGATTTAAGAAAATAACAAAATGGGTTAGTTGGAAGGGATAACTGATACTTACTTTTAGATAGGACTATGAACAATTGGTGTTGAAGCTGAGCTTTTCTCCAGTTTCCCATACTAGTGTAACTCTAGTTTCTCCAAATACACTATGGAGGAGAAAAGGTTCTAAGTGACTTGAGTATGGAGAAAAGCTGTGTAAGATATCCCTGAGTATCCTGAGGCCCATTGACAGATAAAAGAGTGAGAAGCCCTGGAGTTAAATATATGTATATCATGGAGATGGAGTCTCACTATGTTGCCCAGCTGGTCTTGAATTCCTGGCCTCAGGTGTGAGCCAGTACACCGGGTCATATTTTTTGTATTATTCAATGTTTTCCACATGTGTTTAACCATGAGTTCCCCCCTCCCCTCCAACCAACCCAGCCTTTAAAAATATAATACTGATTAATATACAAGGCCTAAATAGAAGCCTAATACATGAGAAGGAATGCATTTGGGCTATTACCTTAATCCTGTGCCTGTGGATCTTTTTTCTTATTATTTTTGTTGTTGTTGTTGTTAAGTTTTGTTTTGAGACAGGGTGTTACCCACTGCTGGAGTGCAGTGGAGCCATCTCAGCTCACTGCAACCTCTGTGTCCCAGGCTTAGGTGATGCTCCCATCTCAGCCTCCTGAGTAGCTTGGACTACAGGCATGTGCCACCACATTCAGCTATTTTTTAATTAAAAATTTTTTGTAGGGAGGGATGAGGTCTTACTAGACTGCCCAGACTGATCTTGAACTCGTAGGCTCAAGTGATCCTTCCACCTCAACCTCCCGAGTACTGGGCTTCCCAGTGTGAGCCACCATGTCTGGCTGAATTTTTTCTAATGATTTTTGAAAGCTTGGTTGTCTCACTGTTTACATTCATTCCTTGGAGCAGGATGGGAGAAGATTTGCATGTAAATTTAGGACAAGATTAGTAAAGTGTTTTTAAAAAATCAAAAGTCACATTAAAACTATTAGTGGATGATAACATTGTTATAGTAAGAAGAATCAGTTTTTATATCAGATAAACCCATTTCAATGAATGCTGTTTTGTCAGGAATGGTTTTGTTGTAAGGAACAGAACTCACTTAAATTTAGCTCAAGTAAAGGGTGTTAGGCATGTTGGTTAGCATCTAAATCAAGGAAGAATTGAATAGCAGGAAGCATAAAGACTTCATATATATCTATATAGATATATTTTATATATCTATATATCTATATATTTTTTTTTTTTTTTTTTTTTTTTTGAGACGGCGTTTTTGCTCTTGTTGCCCAGGCTGGAGTGCAATGGCGTGACCTTGACTCACTGCAACCTCCACCTCCTGGGTTCAAGTGATTCTCCTGCTTCAGCCTCCTGAGTAGCTGGGATTACAGGCATGTGCCACCACATCCAGCTAATTTTGTATTTTTAGTAGAGACGGGGTTTCACCATGTTGGTCAGGCTGGTCGAGAACTGCTGACCTCAGGTGATCCACCCACCTTGGTCTCCCAAAGTGTTGGGGTTACAGGCATGAGCCACCGTGCCCCGCCGAAGTTGTGTATATTAATGGATTTTTTTCATTCTATTCTGTCACTAACTTGTCTTAGTTTTCAAGTCTGCAAGTGTTAATTTTAGTTACTGGCCAATCAGTTGTGGCTAGAAGAGGTAATGTGTAAAGCTACTCTCTCCTTATGAAGCATTTGTAGAGATAGGAAGGAAACAATGCTCATCTTCAGTAAAATTGCCATTTAAAAGAAGTGTTTTGGCCGGGCACGGTGGCTCACGCCTATAATCCCAGAACTTTGGAAGGCCAAGGCGGGCAGATTACCTGAGGTCAGGAGTTCAAGACTAGCCTGGCCAACATGATGAAACCCCATCTCTACTTAAAATACAAAAAATTAGCTGGGCGTAGTGACGCATGCCTGTAATCCAGGCTACTCAGGAGGCTGAGGCAGGAGAATCTCTTGAAACCTGGGAGGCAGAGGTTGCAGTGAGCCAAAATCGAGCCACTACTCTCCAACCTGGGCGACAGAGCGAGACAAATGACCTGTATATAATGAAAAAATGTCAATGCACCCAATGCTTACAATGTGACATAGTGTTTGAAGCATTAGCTTTGGTGTCAGATCTGCCTGGGTTTGAATCCCACTTTGACCACTTGATTATTTGTGACTCTGAGAGGGCAAGACTGAATATTTTGTTTGTTTGTTTGTTTTTTGAGACGGAGTCTCACTCTTGTTGCCCAGGCTGGAGTGCAGTGGCACGATCTCGGCTTATTGCAACCTCTGCCTTCCTGGGTTCAAGCGATTCTCCTGCCTCAGTCTTCCAAGTAGCTGGGATTACAGGCGCCCACCACCATGCCCAGCTAGTGTTGTGGGGTTTTTTTGTTTTTTTTTTTTTGTAATTTTAGTAGAGACGGGGTTTCACCATGTTGGTTAGGCTGGTCTCAAACTCCTGACCTCATGATCCGCCTGCCTCAGCCTCCCAAAGTGCTGGGATTACAGGCATGAGCCACTGTGCCCGGCCAAAACTGAGTGTTTTCACACTTAACCTTTAATGCCTAGTGCTGTTCTTGGCATATAACAAGAACTTGATAAATATTTGGTGAGTGAATGAATGAGTTAACTTCTCTGCATTCTTCAGCATGAAATTAATCATACTCCTTCGGCAGTATTTTGCAGTTCAAGTGAGAAATTGTTTGAGGGACTTCACACAGGATGCAGTAAATAGCAATAACACAACAAGTGTAGTAGCCCTTTATTATTATATATGTGAATACTCATTCTCTATTTATGGCATTCTGGCTGTATATACTGTAGAGTGACAAAGGGATAGACATTTATAGCTTTTTGAGTTTTGTGCATGTGTATGTGCACATGTGTGCGTGTTTTTTTCTTTTTCTTTTTTTTTTTTTGAGACGGAGTCTTGTTCTGTTGCCAGGCTGGAGTGCAATGGCACAATCTTAACTCACTGCAGCCTCCGCCTCCCAGGTTCGAGCGATTCTCCTGCCTCAGCCTCCTGAGTAGCTGGGACTATAGGCACGCGCCGCCACGCCTGGCTAATTTTCGTATTTTTAGTAGAGACAGGGTTTCATCATGTTGGCCAGGATGGTCTTGATTTCCTGACCTCGTGAGCCGCCCACCTCAGCCTCCCAAAGTGCTGGGATTACAGGCGTGAGCCACCGCACCTGGCAGTTTGCATGTTTGTAAGTGGCAGCTTTCTCACATATTTTCTTCCCTCTAAGGATGGAAAGGAGGGAATCTACTATAAATGTTCAAACTTTTCACTGGAACCAAACAAATCCATTGGGGAAGTGAGGGAGTGGACAGTGAAGATAAAGGAATGATTAAGCTGCTATGTTCAAAGTATTTTTTTAAAACTTTCTTATCTAGCATAGAGAGGCTCTGTTATGTTTGTAACTCCTATCTAGAATTGATGTATCTATCTATATTCATTCAACAAATGCTTATTGATGACTCTATGCTAGGCCCTGTCCAAGACATGGGTAAAGTAAGAGTTGTAGCTTACTCTTGAGAAACTATGGATAAAAGAAGTCAAATAGTTGAAAAGTTGAGTGGTTTGACAGGTGTTTTTAAAATGAACTTTAGTAAATTCTTTATAATGGGATAGAATTTAACCTACTTAGTTTACTTGTAAGTCTTTTGCTTGCTAAAGACAATACTTTCTAATCTTTTTGGAAAGCCACTTAAATATGTGTTTTGAAGAATTCTTTTTATTTAAACATGAAATATATTTAAAAACACGGTCAATTATTAAGGAACTGATTTCAGTATTAAATTGAGCATAACCATAAACACATTTTGACATAAGGAGTTTGAGCCTCAATTTTTGATTGAATAGGAACAGAGGAGTTTTTTCAAAGCAATCCTGCTTAGTTTTAATCTACTTTCTTTACTTTTGAAGGAGATGGACGAACACATGCGGAGCATGTTGCATCACAGGGAACTTGAGAACCTGAAGGGCAGGTATGGGAATGGCTCTCTTCCGTAAGTTTGTGAATGTGGGTGGATCTGAGTGATGATGGTGCCTGTCGGTTTGTTTTGCAGTAATCCATCATAAGCAAATGTTGTCTTATGGTGTAGAACAATCTTTTAGAACTAATACAAAGTATAGTAGATTTTTGGCATTCAAAAGAAGACAAACTCTGATACCTTTGGGCATCTTAAATATGTGAATTTACAGCGGCCCTATCGAGTAGATTACAACAAAGGTGAGTTGGGATGAGCTAACTCTCTCATTAGTAAGCTGTGTCATTCCTACCTGCCAGCCTTACAACTAGGGCATTTTGTATTTTTACTTCAGTAGTGTTACACATTACTGCATGCCATAAACATTTAGTATTGCTGAAATTGTCTGAGACATCCAAAGTCTGCTAGATGGCACAGAATCTCATTGGTATAAACAAAATTGAAATATAAACCTTAAGTGTATTTAAGAATGCTGGCCAGGTGCAGTGACTCATGCCTATAATCCCAACATTTTGGGAGCCCAGGGTGGAAGGATTACTTGAACCCAGGAGTCTGAGACTAGCCTGGGCAACATAGCAAGACCTTGTCTCTACAAATAAAGAAATTAGGTGGGTGTGGCAGCTAATAGCCAGTGGTCCCAGCTATTTGGGAGGCTTAGGTTGGGAGGATCACTTGAGCTTAGTTAGGTCCAGGCTACAGTGATTGGGCCACTGCCCTCCTGCCTGGGTGACACAGTGAGACCCTGTCTCAAAAAAAAAAAAAAAGAAGAAGAAGAATGCTGTTCTGTGATTTAAAGCTTGAAATGTTTAAGGAAAGGAAATCTAAAAGTGGACACCTTTAAAAAATGAAATGTAGGCCAGGTGCAATGGCTCATGCCTGTAATCCCAGCATTTTGGAAAACTGAGCCAGGCAGATTGCTTGAGCCCAGGAGTTCAAGACCAACCTGGACAACATGGGGAAACCCCATTGTATTAGTCTATTCTCATGCTGCTAATAAAGACATACCCGAGACTGGGTAATTTATAAAGGAGGGAGGTTTAATTGACTCACAGTTCCCCGTCGCTGGGGAGGCCTCACAGTCATGGCGGAAGGTGAATGAGGAGCAGAGTTACGTCTTACATGGCAGCAGGCAAGAGAGCTCATGCAGGGGAATTCCCATTTATAAAACCATCAGATCTCCTGAGGCTTATTCACTACCATGAGAACAGTATGGGGGAAACTGCCCCTATGATTCAGTTATCTCCACCTGGCCGTACCCTTGACATGTGAGGATTACTGCAATTCAAGGTGAGATTTGGGTGGGGACACAGCCAAACCATATCACCTGTCTCTATGCCCTACCCCACAAAAAACTCCAAAATTAGCTGGGTGTAGTGGTGTGTGCCCGTAGTCCCAGCTACTCATCAGCCTGAGGTGGGAAGATACTTGAACCTGGGAGTTGGAGGTTGCGGTGAGCCAAGATCACACCACCACACTCCAGCCAGGTGACAGAGCCAGAGCCTGTCTCAAAAAAAAAAAGTAGCATGTGTGTGTATTCCATGTCTTTTGTCTATTTGTGATTTCTTTTTTGATGTATTTGACTTCTGTCAATTTGAAGTTTGGAAACAGGATAGATAGAGAAACATTGGGAACCTAGGAAATAGGAATTATATCTTATCCCATGAATAAAAGTTACAAGTTTTTTTTTTTTTTTTCTTTGAGATGGAGTCTCACTCTGTCTCCCAGGCTGGAGTGCAGTGGTGCCATCTCGGCTCACTGCAGCCTCCGCCTCCTGGGTTCAAGCAACTCTCCACCCTCCTGAGTAGCTGGGATTACAGGTGTGCGCCACCACGCGTGGCTAATTTTTGTACTTTTAGTAGAGATGGGGTTTCACCATGTTGGTCAGGCTGGTCTCGAACTCCTGACCTTGTGATCCACCCGCCTCGGCCTCCCAAAGTGTTGGGATTACAGGCGTGAGCCACTGTGCCTGGCCAATAGTTACAAGTTTTGATCAGGATGTCAACCTAGGTCATTTGAAATTTATTTTTTTATGACCCACAGTTTAAGATTCTGTGGGCAAATTAATGTGTTATTAAACTTTCAGCATCTCTTTAGCCTATTAGTGGAATTTTTCCCTGCCCCCAGTCTCTTACTGTGTGAAGGTTAGGTCTTAGCAATATAAAGGAGACGCACTCAAATTTAGTACGGGGAGCCCTTATTATTTTTAATATATACTTTTTTGAGACAGGGTCTCATTCAGTCTACCACCAGACTGGGGTGCCGTAGCACAATCACAGCTCACTGCAACCTCAAACTGGGCTCAAACAATCCTCCCACCTTAGCTTACTGTGTAGCTGGGACTACAGGTGTGTGGCACCACACCCTTTTGGCTTTTATTTTTGGCTTTTATTTTTTGTAAAGACAGGGTTCCATTCTGTCTTTTATTTGGCTTTTATTTTTTGTAAAGATAGGGTTCCACTCTGTTGCTCAGGGTGGTCTTGAATTCCTGGGCTCTAGCTGATCCTCCTGCCTCTGCCTTCCAAATTGGTGGAGCAACAGGCATGAGCCACTCTGCATGGCCAGAAGCCCTTATCATAATACCTTGAATATATATGATCTGTATCTCATTAACATTCAAAATCTATGAAATGCGACTCGGCCTCCCAAAGTGCTGGGATTACAGGTGTGAGCCACCGCACCCAGCCTAAAATCCCATTTTCAACAGACTTCCTTCTAGAGTTCATTAAGGGTTACTTACCTGCCACCCAACCCATCTGCGCTACATCGTTAAACAAAACGAACGAGGTCAGTAAATCTAGTCTGTAGGAGAGAAGCCCATTGCATTCAAAGATTAATGCCTCATTTATTTCAGACATCACTAATCAGCCATTTAAAACGTTTTAAAAAGTTTGGGCTGGCCACAATGCTCGTGCCTATAATCCCAGCACCTTGGGAGGCTAAGACAGGAGGATCAGGAGTTCGAGACCAACCTGAGCAACATAGTGGGACCCCTTCTCTACCCAAAAGTAAATAAATAAATAAATAGCCAGGTGTGGTGGGTTGCACCTGTAGTCCAACTACGTAAAGGATGCTGAGGCAGGAGGATCCCTTGAGCCTAGGAGTTCGAGGCTGCAGTGAGCTATGATTGTGCCACAGCACTCCAGCCTGGGCGACAGTGAGACCCTGTCTCAAAACAAAACCAAGTTTGATCACGTAAGACTTATGTTTATAATCAATGCAGAATCATAAAAAGTTTTTCAAAAAGTAAAAGTCTTCTCCCTACCCCACTCCCCTTTCCCCTCTAAATCCTATTTCTCTCTTAGGGGAGACTCAGTGGTTGGTGTATATCCTATCCAGATCTCTTTCTATGCATTTACATACTTATTTATTTATTTATTGAGATGGAGTTTCACACTTGTAGCCCAAACTGGAGTGCAGTGGTACGATCTTGGCCCACCGCAACCTCCGCCTCCTGGGTTCAAGCGATTCTCCTGCCTCAGCCTCCCAAGTAGCTGGGATTACAGGTGCGTGCAACCACGCCCGGCTAATTTTTTGTATTTTTAGTAGAAACCGGGTTTCGCCATGTTGACCAGGCTGGTCTCGAACTCCTGACCTCAGGTGATCCACCTGCCTCAGCCTCCCAAAGTGCTGGGATTACAGGCATGAGCCACCACGCCCGGCCTATACACTTATATTTATAGATACACATTTCGTTTTGTGATATTAACATAATGAATCACATTGTCATTTATGTTTTGTTCTGTAATGTGTTCTTTTCCACCCAGGCAGCTATGCTGTACCATGGAGATTTTATCTACCATTTTTAATTATTTGGATCACAGTAAAATAATTAGGAAAAAGGCACTAAAAGCCTCCCTGAGCTGCCAATAGGAATGTCAGGTTTCGCACCCTAACTCATTTTCTTTAGAGGATAGCCTTTAGTACTTATTTACTCACATATTGGATATAGTGTTCCTGACCTGTAACAAATTATGTTACATATAAGGGAGAAGACAAACAGGTAGCAAGAAAAAACAGCTTACAAAATTATAGGAAATCCCACAAAATCTCAAAAACTGTTTACTGGCTTGGAGCTTTTACTGTAAGAATGGTCTTCACCAGCTTGTACCATAGGGTCAAATTATTATCAGTCATTATTTCTTTACCCTGTTATCCTGAGTTTGTGATTATTTCCTCTGGATTTCATTTTTAACTACTGAGTTTCTGACACTGAGACTTTCTTTTGCTCAGTGTAGTTGTGTCTACAGTTTTTGGTTGTGATCTGGTTAAGAATTGCAAAGTACATGTTGTTTAGGCTTTGCATGCAAGCTTGAATAAGCAATAAGTAACTGGTCTTATTTGGTTCACAGCTGTGGACATGTGAAACATTTCCCTGTTTTTTCCTAATATACTTCTTCAGATGTGTGGGCCGTAAGTAGCATCTCCAGATAGAGACTATTAAAAAGGCACAACCTTTATTTATTCAGCAGCTGTTGTCGGGTAGTTAGAGCAAGCTTAATAAAGAAAAGCTTATGGAGAGAATATCTTAAGACTTTGCATTTTGCACATGAGAGGAAATTGTGTGGTAACAGGATGAAGCTAATTTAGGCCCTCCTTTTAATGCCCTAAGGAAAATTATTGCCTTTGCTAGCCAAGGAGCAAAGCTGTACATTTCCCCCATAATTATTTTATTTATTCACACAGTGTAGGATTTTAACTGATTATTAATAAATATCAAGTAGCATCATTAAAATATTATTTAATTTGCTATTAGGTTTTTAAAACGTGGTTTCCCAAACACTGTATGTTGAAGCATGAATGCCTGTTGTGTAGAGAACAGAGGTAAATATGCTTACTCCACACACACTTGAATTTTCAGAAGATGTGGTCACACAGAGAAAGAACAGGGTGGTCTAACCGCATCTTCTGAAAACACAGATGTGTGTGGAGGTCACCGTATTACTTCTTTATACTTTTTGAAGTTTCTTATAAAGTTTTTTTTTTTTAAGTTTCTTGCAGAGTTTCTGTTTTAAACTGGATTTTATTTATAGGAAAATGTTAGGGATTTGGTTTTTTGAAAAATCATTTTTAGTATTAACTTTTTTTTTTTTTTTGAGATGGAGTTTTGCTCTTGTTGCCCAGGCTGGAGTGCAATGGTGCAATCTCCGCTCACCACAACTTTCATCTCCTGGATTCAAGTGATTCTCCTGCCTCAGCCTCCCGAGTAGTTGGGATTACAGGCATGCGCCACCACACCTGACTAATTTTGTATTTTTAGTAGAGACTGGGTTTCTCCATGTTGGTCAGGCTGGTCTTGAACTCCTGACCTCAGGTGATCTGCCCACCTCAGCCTCCCAAAGTGCTGGGATTACAGGCGTAAGCACCCGGCTAGTGTTAACTTTTATACTGCACTTACTGCCTGTGCCCTTCTGGGCAGGGTCTCTGATTTGTTCTCTGTCAAATAATTTTGGAACTATGGTTATATTCTTTCTCACTAGGATTGCAAAATGGTTTGAAAATGTTCCACTGTTAAGAATCCAACATATGTTTGTGCTTTGGGGGTTGCAGGGTGTGTGGGTTTATTATTATGGATGTTTATTTTTAACAGTTAAGTTCTGCCTACTTTATACAACATTCCTTAATATTTGGAAAGTCAGTATTGCTTTCTAGCTGTGTCTTTTAAGAGTGAGGGGTTTTGATAGATAGTTTGAGCATTAGACAAATTCTCTGCATTTTAGAAGTAAGGATAAAATCAGGAATTTTATTTTAAAATACCTTTTAGGGATTATACTAAAGTCCCTAGTTGAAAGATGTCCCTGGTACTACAGTAGTCAGTTTAGCAGTCTGTGAGTTTTTAGATAGAAAAGTAGGCTAAGATATTTTCCATAGTTTTAGAAAGTTTTAAGGCAAAAATATTTTCTTTTCTTTTTTTTTTTTTTTTTTTTGAGACCAAGTCTCACTCTGTTACCCAGGTTGGAGTGCAGTGGAGTGATCTCGGCTCACTGCAGCCTCTACCTCCCAGGTTCAAGCGATTCTTCTGCCTCAACCTCCTGAGTAGCTGGGATTACAGGCGTGCGCCACCGTGCCCGGCTGATTTTTGTATTTTAAGTAGAGGTGGGATTTCACCATATTGGCCAAGCTGGTCTCGAACTCCTGACCTCGTGATCCACCCACCTCAGCCTCCCAAAGTGCTGGGATTACAGGCTTCAGCCACTGCGCCCGGCCGACAAAAAGATTTTCTAACTGGAAAATTGAGTTGATTGGAATCTTATAGTGTACAGGAGATATTGTAGATTTGTTATAGTCCTCAGACTGTTCTCATGCTGCCCATTGTGATAGATTTATATAATTAACTTCTTTGTGTGTTGCTTTGAGAAACAGCTTGTTATTAATGTTCAGTTGGAATGAGCTACCATCAATTTAATTGCTTGAGAGAAAAGTATCAGTATCCCTGGTAAACTGGAGAAAGTTGAGGATTATTCTTTTTTCTTTTTTCTTTTTTTTTTTTTTTGAGATGGAGTCTCACTCTGTTGCTCATGCTGGAGTGCAGTGGCACGATCTCAGCTCAACTACAACCTCCGCCTCCCAGGTTCAAGTGATTCTCGTGCCTCACCCTCCCGAGTAGCTGGGATTACAGGTGCCACCACCACACCCGGCTAATTTTTGTATTTTTAGTAGAGATGGGGTTTTACCAGGTTGGTCAGGCTGGTCTCGAACTCCTGACCTCGTGATCCACCCGTCTCGTCCTCCCCAAGTGCTGGGACTACAGGCGTGAGCCACCAAGCCCGGCCTTTTTTTTTTTTTCTTGAATGAATATTCAGGTGATCTGTAACAGTAACTGTCTTCTAGTAAATGAAGTGCCCAGTTTTGAGGGTCTCTTCTGGTTGATTGATGTAAATTCTGCCTATGTCTAGGTATTTGTGAGGGAAAGATGGAACAGAGGTGCACGTGTGTGTATTTCTGTCTGGACAAAGACGGCATGTCTTTTTGGGTTGTTGGGTTTTTTTTAATAGATTGGCATAGGAAGTGCAAAAATATAACTAGTCTAAATCCAAGACACATGATACAGAGTTAAGCCAATTTGGATTGTTGAATGGATACTGCTGTCTTGTAACTATGGCGTTCAGATGTTTCTCATAAATGACTGCATAGTCAGCTGACCCAGTCGAGGGATTTCCAGAAGCTAAAAAGCAGTTAAATGATTGATCTGCAGCTCTGGACACTGATTCAAGACTTTGGCTTCTGAAGACTGGCTAAGTGAGATTTGCCATGAAGTATGTAAAGTAAAAAAACAAAGCAAAAACGTCTGCCTAGTTTAACTAAAAACCTGGTTTTGCATCTCTCTGAACTGTAGCATTTTCTGAAACTTGAGAAAATACATTTGCTTGGCACAGCTGTTAACTTCCTACAACTGAAATGCTTTCCATTCCCTTTAAAACAAGCCCTTCTGAAGCAGAATGTAGATCACTTGTATCATCCAGACCAAAAAAGTTTGCCTGGACTACCGCTGGGTCCGGAATCCTCACATTCCAGGCAGAGCTCCAGCTGTTCCGATTTAGTTACCCACTTGGGATTGGCTGCGCCACCTACTCTTGTTTCCACCCCTTAACTTTCACTGGAAGAAAGCTCTAGACTGAAGATTAAATGTAAGCGCTGTCACCAGGCCTTCTGAGTGCAGCTGGCACCATGGGTGTGCTCCAGAGCAACTTCTGCTTGCTCCGAGCCCCCTGCCCTGCCTCCCCTTTCACCATGTTTCCTCTGACAAGGTTTTAAGTACAGCAATTCAAGAAGATTTCTCCTCCTAAACGACATTTATCTGAAGTGTATTGCCTCTTGATTGCTGGAAAAGAATCTTAAACTCATTTCAAAAGTAACTTATAAACAAACTTATTAAAAGTGATGAAAGGAGCATTAAAATTAATTAGCACTAATTTTTCACTGTGCCAAAGTGTGCAGTGTCCTTCAGAGGAAACGATAGCAGATCTGGTGAGTGTGCCATGCCAGTGGGGAGAATTGAATGTCCCTCATCTCCCTCTTTCCCTAGGGACATTAGTCATGAGTGCCGAGTGTGCGGGGTCACAGAAGTGGGTCTTTCTGCATATGCAAAGCACATTTCTGGCCAGTTGCACAAAGATAACGTTGATGCCCAGGAAAGAGAAGATGATGGAAAAGGAGAGGAAGAGGAAGAAGATTATTTTGACAAGGAACTCATTCAGTTAATAAAACAAAGGAAAGAACAAAGTCGGTAAGTAATTGATTTTTTAAAAAGCCTATCTATAACAGAACACAGCAGAGAATACATTTTATATCTTTGTACTGTTCAGTCCATAGCCTTTAAACTTAGGTATAAAGTTTAGCTGGAGGTTGTTGTCTTATTAATCAAAGGGCAGTGAAATGCTTTCTTGAACTACTGTAATATCTTCTTAAAAAAACAAACTCAGTATTGTTCCTACATAAGCTGTAGCCACATATCTGAAATTTTTGCCATGTTGGTAACTATGTTGAGAATGGTTTTATTGGTATCCAAATCTTTTTTTTTTTTTAAGATGGAGTCTCACTCTGTCACCCACCCAGGCTGGACTGCAGTGGTGTGATCTTGGTTCACTGTAACCTCTGCCTCCTGGGTTCAAGCAATTCTCCTGCCTCAGCCTCCTGAGTAGCTGGGATTACAGATGCCCGCCACCATGCCTGGCGAATTTTTTTTGTATTTTTAGTAGAGACGGGGTTTCACCCCAGTAGCCAAGCTGGTCTCAAACTCCTGACCTCAAGCAATCTGCCTGCCTCAGCCTCCCAAAGTGCTGGGATTACAGGCGTGAGCCACCATACCTGGCCAGTATCCAAATCTTTTGAATACCAATAAGTTGTTATTTGGCGTTTAAATTTTCTAGTGGAAAGGTGTTAGAATATAAGCTTCATTGTATAAATTATATAGTACATAGTATAGTCTTATTACCAAAATAACATTTCTTAGGAAAATGTTTTTTGACTGGTGTGAATTAACGTGGTGCTTCTGCCAAATGTGATTTATCTTTTTGTCTTTGAATCCCCAGTGACTACCACAGTGCTTTATTGAGTAAATTTTTTTGTTAGTGTCAAGATCATTTAAGCAATATAAATTTTCTAATTTGTACTGCTTAATTTCATACCTACATTTATACATTCAGATATTAGGCATTTACGTTTTCACCTTACTGTTTTCTGGTCTAAAGAGTTTAATTATAAAATTTGTTAAAAAGAGTTTAATTAATGAGGTAGAAATTTTCAGATGTGAGGGGAAGAGAGAGAAGCACTTATGAGGTGGGATAATTTTTTAAGTCCCAGAATATGAAGAGAATCATTTCAGATTCTAAAATAAAAATTTAAAGATTATTCTTGAATACTAGTTATACCTGGTCTGTACCTCCTTTTTAGTTAGAGGCTTGACTATAAAAAGGAAGTTGTTTTTACTCTGTGTGTTTAAAATTTTTTTGCTGGGAGGCATGGTGGCTCAGGCCTGTTGTCCTGGTGCCTGAGGAGATGAGGCCAGGGCTACAAGACCAGCCTGGGCAACATAGGAAGCCCTTATCTATGTAACCAAAAAAGAAAGAAAATTTAAATTAAAAAAAAAAAGTTTTTTGAACAAGTCCTTGAAGGAGACTTTCTTAGTCTTTTTTTTTGAGACGGAGTCTCACTCTGTCGCCCAGGCTGGAGTGCAGTGGCCAGATCTCAGCTCACTGCAAGCTCCGCCTCCCGGGTTCACGCCATTCTCCTGCCTCAGCCTCCCGAGTAGCTGGGACTACAGGTGCCCGCCACCTCGCCCGGCTAGTTTTTTGTGTTTTTTAGTAGAGGCGGGGTTTCACCATGTTAGCCAGGATGGTCTCAATCTCCTGACCTCGTGATCCGCCCGTCTCAGCCTCCCAAAGTGCTGGGATTACAGGTTTGAGCCACCGCGCCCGGCCAACTTTCTTAGTCTTAAAATATCAATAAAGGGTGAGCATCCGTAATCCAAAATCTGAAAATGCACCAAAATCCAAAACTTCTGAGTGCCAATATGAGGCCACCAGTGGAAAATTCCACACCTCATTTCATTTTACAAAATTATTTAAAATATTACCTAAAATTATCTTCAGACTTTGTATAAAAGGTATATATGAAACATAAATGAATTTTATGTTTAGACTTGGGTCGCATTCCCATAATATCCCATTACGTATATGCAAAAATATTCCAAAACCCAAAGCAATTTGAAATGCAAAGCATTTCTGGTCCCAAGCATTTCAGATGAGGGACACTCAAACAACATGGTTCTTAAATCATTTAGTAGCTTAGTCCTTCAAATGACATTTTCATTACTTTTAATATCGTTGCAGTTTACTTTCTCCTACTTTAGGCAGTTGAAGCCTCTGGGAGACTAACTTCTATTTTGTTCTTACATACTAGTGCCATTATTAGCTTTATCTGTGTAAATAAACATTAAGACAGAATAGATTAGATATTCATATCATAGTTACTATTTTTTGAGTCTTTTGATATGCCTCCTTGGTGACCTATTTATAAAATAATCTACTTCTTCTTTTTTTTTTTTTTTTTGGAGACAGAGTGTTGGTCTGTCACCCAGGCTTGAGTGTAGTGGCACGATGACACCTCTCACTGCAGCCTCAACTTCCTAAGGCTCCAACAGTCCTCCCACCTCAGCTTCCCAAGAAACTGGGGCTACAGGCATGCATTGCCACCATGCCTGGCTAATTTTTCTTTTAATTTTTATTTTTGGTAGAGATGGGGTTTAGGCATGTTGCCCAGGCTGGCCTCGAACTTCTGGGCTCAAGTGATCCACCCGCTTTGGCCTCCCAAAGTGCTGAGATTACAGACATGAGCCACCACACTTGGCCAAAATCATCTACTTCTTCAGGAGTGTTTTTTTTCTTTTTTCCTTCATGATTTTTAACTTAGATTATGCTTTCTGGTCTGTGGGTTTAGCTGAATGCTCCTATCTTCTGAATCTAGCCAATTCATGAAATCTAGGAATTCTACTTCGTGAGTTATTTATCTCCCAATTCTCCCATTTCTGATCATATCAGTATAGCTGTGTCAGTGGTCTCCTTGGATGTCAAAAGTTTTTACATAGAATCAAGACATAAAGGCAATTTGGTTAATGGTTATAAAAAAAATTCTGCTACTGTATGTAATAATACTTGTTACTTTCTAAACAGTCTCCTGTTTAGAAATGATTGTAATTTATATAACATTAGTGGATGTTTGAATTTCTAGATAGACTTTTAAATTCCATCTTGTGAAAAAGGAAGAAGTTCCAATTTGTGTCCAAAATATCATAGACATTAAAACCCTTTAAAGCCAATTTAAGTCAGTACTGAGTTTAAGATTTTTAAGTCAAGGTCAGAGGAAGGAACTTAGATGTGGAAACTTTGTTTTGAGATGTTGATTCTATGACGGCCTATGGTTAGGAGTATAGACTCTCGCTGGAGTCAGACTGCCAAGGTTTAAATCTCTGCTCTGCTACTTTCTGGCTGTCTTATTCTAGTCAAGTTATGTAACCTCTCTACTGCTCAATTTCTCATCTCAAAAGTAGGAATAATAAGAATACTTGCCACGCCTGTAATCCCAGCGTTTTGGGAGGCTGAGGCAGGCAGATCATGAGGTCAGGAGTTCAAGACCAGCCTGGCCAACATGGTGAAACCCCGTCTCTACTAAAAATATAAAAATTAGCCAGGTATGGTGGTGGGCACCTGTAATCCCAGCTACTCAGGAGGCTGAGGCAGGAGAATCACTTGAACTCGAGAGGTGGAGGTTGCAGTGAGCCGAGATCATGCCATTGCACTCCAGCCTAGGTGACAAAGCAAGACTCCATCTCAAAAAAAAAAAAAGAATACTTGCCTCAGGATTATAAAAACTAAAAGAGATAATCTGTATATAAGGTGCTTGGCATTAAATGCCTGGTACTTAGGTACTCGGTAAATTTTAACTAGCAGTACTCAGTATTTTGAGCACTTAGCACATGATAAGCACCATGGCCATGCACACCATAGGCAGTTTGTAGAAGAAAATAGTATTTACACCTACTGCTGTGATGCTTACTGAAGTTTATTCATGTTTCTGTGGACTCCTCATCTACCATGAATACATGACACAGCTGTAGTTTCTTTATAAAAACCTCTAGCTCATGAAGCTCTTATAGCACATCTGATGGTTACTACTTGTTTGGTATATGCTATTTTCCTCCTGTTTATGACCTTATTATCTCAGCTAGGTGCTAAGCCCTTCACAAACCGGAACTATACATAAAAGTCTTCTTATACCACTAATGGTTATTGAATGGGTACTGGTCAAAGTGTTTATTAATAAAAATAACCATGCAAAGTATAATCTTATTTAAAATAGGTTAAGAAATGGGAGTTTTTCAGAAAGAACCTACAAACTGGAAAAATCATGGTATTAAGGGCAGCTGAATATAAAATTGTATTAAATATGATAACTAGGCCAGGCGCAGTGGCTCATGCCTGTACGCCTGTAATCCCAGCACTTTGGGAGGCTGCGGTGGGTGAATTACCTGAGGTCAGGAGTTTGAGACCAGCCTGGCCAACATGGTGAAACACCGTGTCTACCAAAAATACAAAAATTAGCCGGACGTGGTGGCGCATGCCTGTAATCCCAGCTACTTGGGAGGCTGAGGCAGGAGAATTGCTTGAGCCTCAGAGACAAAGGTTGCAGTGAGCTGAGATTGTGCCACTGCACTCCAGCCTGGCCAACAGAGCAAGACTCTGTCTCAAAAAGAAAAAAAAAAAAGATAACTATAGCTATAAAATATAATTGTTCTTATTCCAAAAAAGCTGCATAATATAAAAATAATAATTGGATGATAGGGACAAAATCTCAGAACATGCCAAGAAAAACAGGACCAAGAAAGGGAGGAGAATATAAATGTGTCAAATTTTTGTTTGCTTGTTTTTTTGAGATAGTCTCACTCTGTTGCCCAGGCTGGAGTGCAATGGTGCGATCTCAGCTCACTGCAACCTCCGCCTCCTGGGTTCAAGTGATTCTCATTCCTCAGCCTCCTGAGTAGCTGGGGTTATAGGTGTGCGGCACTACGCATGGCTAATTTTTGTATTTTTAGTAGAGATGGGGTTTCTCCATGTTGGCCATGTTGGTCTTGAACTCCTGACCTCAAGTGATCTGCCTGCCTCGGCCTCCCAAAGTGGCTGGAATTATAGATGTGAGCCACCACACCTGGCCAAATGTGCCAAATTTTTAATATTTCTGGGTGATAGGGGAGATAGTTGTAATTATTTGAAATTTAAATAATTTAAAATGTTTAATTTTTAAGTTAATAAGTTGAGGAATATAAGTTTAAATATATCATTTAAAGATATGAAAACAACCACTATTAGATATGAAACTAGACTCGGTTACATATTCTAAGTAATGGGAGGAAAGTACAAGGGAAGTCTGGAGGGTTATGCCTTTCAAGGTAGCATAGGAATTCCTTTAAATTACTAATGAAAAACCTGTTTTTCTTCCAGACAAGATGAACCTTCCAATAGCAACCAAGAAATAAACTCTGATGACAGACGACCCCAATGGAGACGAGAAGACCGAATTCCTTACCAAGACAGAGAGAGTTACAGTCAGCCTGCATGGCATCATCGTGGACCTCCACAGCGGGATTGGAAATGGGAAAAAGATGGCTTTAATAATACTAGGAAAAACAGCTTTCCACATTCTTTGAGGAACGGTGGTGGGCCAAGAGGACGTTCCGGGTGGCATAAGGGTGTTGCAGGAGGCTCCTCAACTTGGTTTCACAACCATAGTAATTCTGGAGGTGGTTGGCTTTCAAATAGCGGAACAGTAGATTGGAATCATAATGGTACAGGAAGGAATTCCAGTTGGCTTTCTGAAGGAACAGGTGGCTTTTCCAGTTGGCATATGAACAACAGTAACGGAAACTGGAAATCCAGTGTACGTAGTACAAATAATTGGAATTACAGTGGCCCTGGAGACAAATTTCAACCAGGCAGAAACAGAAATTCTAACTGTCCAATGGAAGACATGACTATGCTATGGAACAAGAAATCTAGTAAGTCAAACAAATACAGTCAGGACAGATATAATTGGCAGCGGCAAGAAAATGACAAACTTGGTACAGTTGCCACATATAGAGGTCCTTCTGAAGGATTTACAAGTGATACATTTCCTTCAGAAGGCTTACTCGACTTCAATTTTGAGCAGCCGGAAAGCCAAACCACTAAACAAACAGACACTGCTACTTCCAAAGTTAGTGGAAAGAATGGCAGTGCGGTAAGGGAAAAGCCTCGTCGCTGGACGCCTTACCCTTCCCAGAAGACTCTGGATTTACAGTCAGGATTGAAAGACGTCACTGGTAACAAGTCAGAAATGATGGAGAAACCTCTCTTTGATTTTAGCTTGATAACTACAGGAATACAGGAGCCCCAAACTGATGAAACACATAATTCCCCAACACAGAAAACACAAAAAGAAATGCATACTGGATCTCTTAATCACAAGCCCTCTTCTGATTCTGCCGCTTCCTTCGAGGTGGTAAGACAGTGCTCCATTACAGAAAAACCTGAACAAGAGCATACCCCAAATAAAATGCCGTCATTGAAATCCCCACTCCTTCCATGTCCAGCCACTAAATCATTTCCTCAAAAGCAAGATCCAAAGAATACCTCAAAAAACACCAAAACAAATTTTTTTTCCCCTGGAGAACACTCAGATCCCTCGAACAAGCCCTCTGCGGAAGATAACCATGGTCCTTACATATCCAAACTGCGTAGTTCATGTTCTCATGTTTTAAAAGGGAGTAAAAGTACATTTGGCTCTCAAAAGCAATCTGGTGATAATTTAAATGATACGTTACGAAAGGCCAAAGAGGTGCTACAGTGTCATGAGTCATTGCAAAATCCACTTCTTAGCACTTCTAAAAGGACCAGGAACTATGCAAAAGCAAGTAGAAATGTAGAAGAATCTGAAAAAGGGTCTTTGAAAATTGAGTTTCAAGTGCACACACTAGAAGATGAAAGTGATGGAGAAACATCTGACACGGAAAAGCAGGGAACAAAAATTGGAACCCTAGGTTCTGCAACTACAGAATTGTTATCCGGCAGCACTCGTACTGCTGATGAGAAAGAGGACGATGACCGAATCCTGAAGACTTCTAGAGAACTATCCACTTCGCCATGTAATCCCACAGTTCACCAGAAAGAATCTGAATTACAAATGACATCTGCAGCCAGTCCACACCCTGGCTTATTGCTAGACTTGAAAACCTCTCTAGAAGATGCACAGATTGATGACTCTATTAAATCTCATGTGTCTTATGAAACAGAAGGCTTTGAGAGTACTAGCTTGGATGCAGAGCTTCAAAAAAGTGACATCAGTCAGCCCTCGGGCCCTCTCCTGCCTGAACTAAGTAAGCTTGGCTTTCCTGCCTCACTTCAGAGGGATCTAACCCGGCACATTAGTTTGAAGAGCAAAACTGGAGTGCACCTTCCTGAGCCAAACCTCAATAGTGCCCGCCGCATTCGCAATATTAGCGGTCACCGAAAGAGTGAGACAGAGAAGGAGTCTGGGCTCAAGCCAACCCTACGGCAGATTCTAAATGCATCTCGGAGAAATGTCAACTGGGAACAGGTCATTCAGCAAGTAACCAAGAAAAAGCAAGAGCTGGGCAAAGGCTTACCCAGGTGTGTGCTGCTTTTCAGTGTCTTTCTTTTTTTTTCCCCCTCGCTTTCTTTTAAAGTAACCCTTTGACCCTGATCAAGAGAATTCTACGTGTTTCATTTAATTAAATGTTTGCCAACAATATCTGTTGTAGATGTCTTGATTTAATATCAAATAGTGACTGATACTCTATGACAGATGGAATAAAGTATTTCCTAGCAGAGAGTGCAGGTTAAAATGGAAGCACACCTACTTGAGAAACAAGATGGTGACATAAGAAAAAAGTCATCACTTTATAGGGGTAAAATCCATCACTTTATAGGAGTAGAAAACGACAGTATAAAAATGTAGAGCTATAGATCTGTGTCTTTGTCTAGATCTTAATTTTGGAATGCGTGCTGTAACTTTTAAATAGAACTGTTCTCATTACCTTTTACTTGGAACCCACGAATAGTTAGCTTTTCTGTATGTACTCTGGGCATTGTATTTATTACTACAACATGCTTTCTCTTGAGCACTTGTGTAATATTTTGGCTCTTCATCTTATGTTGAGATACTAGACTTTTCTGAATGGTAAAACAGTGTTCAACATAGGTTTGCTACTTGAAAGTCATAACTCTGCTGCACGATGATACAGTTCTGCAGGCTTCAGGGGCATTTCTGTACTTGTTGAAATAATGGATTTATTTTCCCCCACTTTCTTTTTCCCACACCCTGTGACTAGCACTGGAAATTTTCAGTATATAGCACCCGTAAATGCTCAATAAAAGGTTTTTTTTTCTTTTGGTTTGGTTTGTTTGCTTTTAAAAATTACATGCTGTATGTATTATTATAGATTTAGAGCTCCATATGAAATAAAACTCAATTTTTACTCCCTCAAATATATTATTGTAGCTGTATACAAACCTCTAATCTGGTACTTGTCACAACATAATATATTTATATCTGTATCACTTACTAGACTGTGAGCTCCTTGAAGACAAGAACTACCTTACTTTTTATAACCTCAGTGCTTGAGAGAACCTGGCACATTAAAAAATAATGCCTCTCTCAACAACCATATCCAATTTATGTTTTCATTTTTTCTTTCTTCCTTAAGGTTTGGCATAGAAATGGTACCGCTTGTTCAAAATGAACAAGAAGCCTTAGATTTGGACGGGGAACCTGATCTGTCCAGTCTAGAAGGATTCCAGTGGGAAGGCGTTTCCATTTCCTCATCCCCTGGCTTGGCAAGAAAGCGAAGCCTTTCTGAGAGCAGCGTGATCATGGACAGAGCTCCTTCTGTGTATAGCTTCTTCAGTGAGGAAGGTACAGGCAAAGAAAATGAGCCCCAGCAGATGGTTTCACCTAGTAACTCACTGAGGGCTGCACAGAGTCAGAACGCAACCATGCACCTCAAACAAGAAGTGACACCTCTGGCTGCCTCCCTCCGAACAGGTGAAAGGGCTGAAAATGTTGCTACCCGAAGGCGACATAGTGCACAATTACCTTCTGACGATATAATACCTTTGATGCATTCGGCAAAAGACTTGAACAGCCAGGAGAGGTCTATGCCACCTTCAGAGAGTCAGAATTCCCAAGAGAGTAATGGAGAAGGAAACTCTCTGTCATCAAATGCATCCTCAGCCCTTGCGATCTCCAGTTTAGCGGATGCAGCCACAGATAGTAGCTGTACCTCTGGTGCTGAACAAAATGATGGCCAAAGTATTAGGAAGAAACGAAGAGCCACTGGAGTGAGTATAATTCCCTCTGCTTTTTGTAGAACATCGCATGTGGCAAGTTGGTTGTGTATTAAAAAAGCTTCAACTGTTTTTCTTGGGTGTCTGGGATTGTGATTCTCTCAACTTCTAGAAGAATTGTGAGGTTCTTACTTTCATCCTACTGGTTTCTTACACTGAGTAATTCTGCTAAATTAAATGTAATCTAATATGAATGTACAGTACCAGGAAAATATGAAGTCATATCTAAAACCAGCGTCCAAGCCAATGATTCTTTGTGTCACCTGACCAAGGATCAGTCACATCTTCAACTGTAACTCAATCTGTTTTCATAGATGCATTCTGCACTGCTGCTGAAGAAAGGCATTCTACTGTTGTAGAGCATGGATGATTGCTGGATTCAGGAGTGCTAGGCTTAACACTAAGATGGTTTTAATACTATTTGTGTATATATGAACAGAGTATAGAAATATTTTTAGTCTGTGTAACTCTGTCCTTCGTCCTTCAGTTACCCAGCCTGGCCTTTAAGAATCTTTTATTTCACTGATAGCACTTCTGCTCTTCTGGCAATTCTGCTGGTAATACTGCTTAACCCTCTCAGTATCCCTTTCTGGAAAGAAAGAGGTGCTGGTAGTGAGATAGTCTGGGATCTGGCGATGTGAAAAAAAATGGGTTCTTCTCTTCATTATTTGTTTATTTTATAATATTTTAAAATTTATATTAGAGATGAGGTCTCACAATGTAGTCCAGACTGCTCTGGAACTCCTGGACTCAAGCAGTCCTCCTGCCTCAGCCTCCCAAGTATTGGGAACTATAAGCATGTATCACTGTGCTGGGCTTCTCTCATTTACTACTGAGGTGATAAACATAGTAGTTAAGGTCATGAATTTTAGGCTTGCTTCAAATTGCAATTCTGCTCCTTTGAGCTAGATGCTATATGTAGTGCATGTTATTGGATGACTTAAAATACACTTCAAGCTGAGAAACTGTCCTATGACAAAGAGCTTGTCTCGTGGACTGTTAAGCTTTTTGTTGTAAAGGTTTTCTTGCTGAAATTTAAAGTAGAAACTATGCCAAGTTATAAATATATATATTTATATATATAACTGGCTTTGTCAATACTTCTACTTGTGCCTTACTACACCAAGATAGAATGCTTTGTCTGACCTCCATGGGCTTTCCTACCTCTAGGATGCTAGAAGGCACTTCACCCTGGATTCTTTTTTTTCTTTCTTTCTTTTTGAATCAGATATGTTTATTCAACTGAAATTTGAGTTTGTACTATGTGCGTGAGACTCCTATGATCATGTTAGAGATGGTAGCAATAGTGAAGAATAGCGTACAGCTATCTTGGAATTGATTCCTTTTGCTCCTCTTGGATAATGGCTTTTACACATTGGATTTTATGCATTTTTCTTTATCGCTCCAGGATGGATCTTCTCCTGAACTCCCAAGTCTTGAGAGAAAAAATAAAAGAAGGAAAATTAAAGGAAAAAAAGGTATGGTGCAGAATATTTTGAGAGAAAGAAGTTGGTGTTTTTTGTTTCGTTTTTTGGGTTTTTTTGGTAACCTCCCAACTCTTGGGCTCAAGCAATCCTCTTCTCTCAGCCTCCCGAGTAGGTAGGACTACTGGTGTGTAATAACACACTAATTATTTTTATTTTTTTGTAGAGACAGGGTCTAGCTATATTGCCCAGGCTGGACTCAAACTCTTGGGCTCCAGTGATCCTCTCACCTTGGCCTCCCAAAGTGTTGGGATTACAGGTGTAAGCCACTGTGTCCAGCCCCAAGAGGTTCTTGTAGCAGTTCAGTGTTTGTACAACTTGACACAGAGCATAGCTTGTCATTTATCAAACACTGATTGTCCATTGACTTTTTTTGGACATTTTTGTTGCCTTGCTTAAGAGGAAAGAAATGTTTGATTTCCTAATACATCCAGTTACAACTGTAGAAGAAATATATGATGTCACATAGACTTGTAAGCCAAGGTTAGTATATCACTGGGACAATATAAAGCCAGAAAGTTTCCTTAAGCCTTTTCAGTGGGATAAAACATGTTGGCCCTCTTGGTCATGTGTAGCCATTTCTCTCACTTTCTGTTTTTGAGGCATCTTGGTTGCTTCCCCCCTGCCCTACTTCTACACTCCCTTCCTTGGTTGTTTTTCTAAAGTGAATTATGGAAAGAAGTTATTAACATTGCTCCCTCATTGATATATTTCTGTGATTCCTGCTTTTCCTTGACTCTAACCCAGTTCTAGTATAAGGGCTAGTCCCGGAAGTGATTGGATGAGGCTTGAGTGAGTGGATGTGATGGATAAGGGAGGAGTCAAGGACAACCCACATTTCTGGCTGGACCAACCAGATGGATCATATGTAGAGCTAGAAAGCTCCATGAGAGGAGCAGATTGAGAATAGAGAAAAGTGATGAATTCCCTCAGGGATTCTTTGACTTAAAGGACCTTTGAGATAACCTAGCCAGAAATATCATAGTCAGTAGTTGGATATGTGGGTGTGGAGCTCAAGGGAGAGGTCCTGGCATATTCAATAGCAAACAGACAAACCCAATGATGGTAAATACATACACAGAACATTTTATTCAAAGTAAGTTAAGTGTACTATTTCACAGCTGTATTTTCTTCAGGAAGTCTTCTCTAATAAAAACAATTTTTAAGTCAACTGGCAGACTAAATATGGATTGGAAAGAGAGTACAAGCAGTCTAGGTCCAGAGTCCAATCTAAGCAAAAGTCCTTTGTGAAGACAGTGGTAGATAAAGGAAGAATGGGAAACGAGACCTAGAACAGATGGTTTGCGTGGGACAGATTTCACCTGGAAAGGCAGCGGTGGAAGGTGGTGATCAGATGAGACAGAATGATGTGGTGGACCCTGGAGCTTATGAGACTCCTCCATCTTAGCAGGTGTCACTTTTGGTTCCTAGCTTTGATATCATTGTGCTTGACTAAATGTTTTGTGAATTTCCAGTGACCTATTGAGGAGAACATAAAGGCTTATTCCAGATAATGGGAATAGTTCAATCTTGTGAGGAGCTGTGTGATGAGACGGAAATCTCCTAGTATTAACCTGAACCTTATGGTTTCTTTTGGCAGAACGTTCTCAGGTTGACCAGCTGCTGAATATTTCTTTAAGGGAGGAAGAACTTAGTAAGTCATTGCAGTGCATGGATAACAATCTTCTGCAAGCCCGTGCAGCCCTTCAGACAGCTTATGTGGAAGTTCAGAGGCTACTTATGCTCAAGCAGCAGGTAACGGCATGTGGAGGATTTAATAAAAATGGATCATCTCTGAAATCATGTTTTGTCCTGCCAAACCCATGGCTGGAGTCACTCCAAAAGCAGTGGCAGGGGAGTTTCCACAAGGGAAGTGCCCAGACTGTGCCTAATGGGGGACAGTTAGGATTCCAAAGAAAGAAGCACGAAATGCCGGGGTGATGAGTCCAAAGCATTTATTAGCAGAGCTTACTTACAGAGTAGGCTGCAGCAGTCCTGACAAGGGACAGCAAGGAAGGGGTGTTCTCCCTAGGTACATCCACAGCCAGCGGGCGGGATGTGGAGTTTATATGAGGGTTGAAGGAATTCGGCTCCGGGCCAGGGCCAATTTCTTTCAGTGTTTCGGGCAACAACCTAGATACTTTTATCAGTGCCTGGGATTCTTCAAGACCCCAGGTGGGGTTTAAGCCTGCTAGGGAAAACCTGCAGCTGGCTGGGTCACAGAGCAGTCAAAACACTGATTTTTGGTCAGGATATAGAAGAAAAGTGGGGAGACCTAGAGGACCCTACAAGTTGGATTTCAAAATGCTTAATAAAATACTTTATTTTTAGATAACTATGGAGATGAGTGCACTGAGGACCCATAGAATACAGATTCTACAGGGATTACAAGGTATTCAGAGGGCTTCTGATGGATAGCTTGTTACTTTTTTGTTCTGTTTTTTTGTTTGTTTGTTCGTTTTTGGTTTTTTAGACAGAGTCTTGCTCTATCCCCCAGGCTGGAGTGCAGTGATGCAATCTCTGCTCACTGCAACCTCTGCCTCCCAGGTTCAAGTGATTCTCGTGCCTCAGCAGTTGATTAGCGGGAATTACAGGTGCCCACCCCACCCCCAGCTAATTTTTGTATTTTTAGTAGAGACAGGGTTTCACCATGTTGGCCAGACTGGTCTCAAATTCCTGACCTCAGGTGATCCGCCTGCCTCAGCCTCCCAAAGTGCTGGGATTACAGGCGTGAGCCACTGCACCAGGCCTTTTTGTTCTCTTTGAGGGAAATGAAAAGTAGTCATGAAAAGATCATGTTATTTCTCTCATGTCTCCTTGGTTTCATCCTTTTTTGTTTTTTTGAGACAAGGCCTTGCTCTGTCACTCAGGCTGGAGTGCAGTGGCATGATCACGGCTCATTGCAGCCTCGACCTCCTGGGCTCAAGCGATCTTCCCACCTCACTCCCCCCAGTAGCTGGGACTACAGATGTGTGTCACCATGCCTGGTTATTAAAATTTTTAACTTTTAATTTTATAAAGTTATAATTTAAAATCGTAAAAATTTAAAGGTTATAAAAATTATAAAAAGTTATATAAAATTATAAAAAGTTATAAAAATTTTTAAAATGTTTTTGTAGAGATGGGATCTCCCAGTGTTTCCCAGGATAGTCCCAAACTCCTGGGCTCAAGCAATCCTCCTAACTTGACCTCCCAAATGGTTAGGATTACAGGCCTGAGCCACCACGCCTGGCCAGTTTCATCCTTCTATAGAAAGGTCTGTAGATGGTGCATCCCAAAAATGTTTAGCAACAGACAATATGTTTTGGAAAAAGTTTTGATTAGGAATCAAGAGGCCTGGATTCAAATCTTCGCTCTTCCATTAGTAACCTATATAACTTTGGATAAGTCATTTAAGATTTGAAAAATTGGAATGTAGCCAGGCACAGTGGCTCATGCCTGTAATCCCAGCACTTTGGGAGTCTGAGGCAGGTGGATTCCTTGAGCCCAGGAGTTTGAGACCAGCCCAGGCAACATGGTGAAACCCTGTCTCTAGAAATAAATACAAAAATTATTAATAATTATTAATAATAATAATTCCAGCCTGACCAACATGGTGAAACCCCATCCCTACTAAAAATACAAAAATTAGCTGGGCATGGTGGCATGCGCTGGTAATCCCAGCTACTCAGGACGCTGAGGCAGGAGAATCGCTCGAACTTGGGAGGCGGAGGTTGCAGTGAGCCAAGATTGCGCCACTGCACTCCAGCCTGGGTGACAGAATGAGACTCTGTCTCGAAAAAATAATAACAATAATAACTGGGCATAGTGGCATGTGCCTATAATCCCAGCTGCTTGGGAGGCTGAGGCAGGAGGATTGCTTGAGTCCATGCACTGCAGCCTGGGTGACAAAGCGAGACCCTATCTAAAAAAAAAGAATGTTGATGCCTATTCTGTCTGTATCCTTGGTGGTTGTAGAGATTATATTCTCTATATTTCAGAGAATTATGACGAACTATACTAATATACTTACTAAAAATTCTTTTCTAATGTTTAAATATACAAATTAGCTCAGAAACAAATGACTTTTGAGATAACGTTTTTGCATTTCTGTGTATGTCTGTTTCCCATTCTAGAAACATACGAACCTTCTGAGCAGCCAGACCAGGTTCCCTGTAGCCTCACACGAGAACGAAGGAACAGTAGATCTCAGACATCTGTTGATGCCGCACTGCTGCCCACTCCCTTTTTCCCACTTTTTCTGGAGCCTCCATCTTCCCATGTGTCTCCATCACCCACCGGAGCCTCTCTTCAAATAACCACATCTCCTACTTTCCAAACCCATGGCAGTGTCCCTGCTCCAGACTCATCCGTTCAGATTAAACAAGAGCCCATGTCTCCTGAACAAGATGAGACTGTGAATGCTGTGCCACCAAACTCTGCCTGCAATGTGTCCAACGAACTACTGGAAGCTAATAGTATGTAAGCTTTTCTCTGGGTTAAGGGCATCCCAGTAGTGGGACTGGGGCATTTTTATATGAGTGATATAAGCCATACCTACTCATTAAAACTAAAATGAGCAAATACAACTAATTTTTCACTGAAATTCTCTTCATATATACAGGAGGATTCTTTTAAAATATTTTAGAGAATGTAATTTAAATATCAGTCATTTTCTATCATTTCCTATAATCTAGGGTTAGAGTTGACTTTGTATTAACACCCACAAGGTTCCATTTATTAGGATAAGTATAAAATTTGTTTTGTGTGAAATAAATGGGGTTGAAGTTAATTCAGCCAATTTTCTAAATAAGGTCTATCCTCTGAATTTCTTTGCACTTAACTCTATATAATCTCAAATACAAACCAGGATTCATATAAGCTCGAGAGGCAGGTGGCCATGATTGGGTTTGGAATCATCTACTAAGAAGTTTGTGTTGAGAAATAGCCAGGGTTTTCACTCTTTTCAAAAAATAACACTTACCTGGTTATCATTTGAGAATATATCTAAGCTATGTAAAATCCTGTTAGAAGTTTGCATTACCACAGTGGTGCTGTATTTGAAAATTAAGTCCAACAAACTGGCATTGTGTGGTTTCCTAAGCAAAAGCAAAAAGTCTAAAAAATTACTCTAGATTTTACTACCAGTACTGTGTTGCAATATTAATCTAGATGTTAGTATCAAATGTATAGCTTATTTGTTTATTGAGACAGTGTCTCACTCTGTCACTCAGGCTGGAGTGCGGTGGCACAATCACAGCTCACCACAGGCTTGACCTCCTGGGCTCAGATGATCCTCCCACCTCAGCCTCCGGAGTAGCTAGGACTACAGACGCCTGCCACCATGCCCGGCTCATTTTTGTATTTTTTTTTTTTTTTTTAGAGATGGGGATTCACCATGTTACCCAGGCTGGTCTTGATCTCCTGGGCTCAAGTGATCCACCCACCTTGGCCTCCCAAAGTGCTCGGATTATAGATGTGAGCCACTGTGCCTGGCTTAGCATATATATATATGTGCAACTTTTTTTTTTTTAAAGACAGAGTTTCGCTTTTTGTTGTCCAGGCTGGTGTTCAGTGGTGTGCTCTTGGCTCACTGCAACGTCTACCTCCCAGGTTCAAGTGATTGTCTTGTCTCAGGCTCCCAAATAGCTGGGATTTCAGGTGCCCACCACCATGCCCAGCTAATTTATGTATTTTTAATAGAGACAGGGTTTCACCATGTTGGCCAAGCTGGTCTTGAACTCCTGACCTCGAGCGATCCGCCCTCCTCAGCCTCCCAAAATGCTGGGATGACAGACGTAAGCCACCGTGCCCAGTCCCTAGCATATTTTTAAAAATTATTTTAAATTTTTGTGGGTACATAATAGGTGTGTATATTTATGGATTACATGAAATATTTTGGTACTATTTTTCATATTACATATTATTTTAGTCTTTCTTAAATCATGTTTTTGTGTTTACATGTAGAACTTATACAAAGGAGCAATCATATATAACCTGACTTTTTCCATTTGATATATCATGATTTTTCTGTCGTAAAAATAATTTATCTAAAATATTTTATATTACAAGTTGCATAATATTTGAATAGTTGCATAATTTGAATATACAATAATTTAAGTGGTGAATCTTTTTTGAATATTTAGTTTTCTGACTTCATATTCTGTATAACACTGCGTTGTATATGTCTTTGAGTACGTCTGTGATTATTTCATCACTTTTAATTCCTAGACATGAAGTAATTAAGTCAAAGGAAATTGACATTTCTAAGTCAGCAAATTTTTTAACTACTAGGGTGTAGCTAAATTGGATGGGTGGGGATAATGAAAACTTCAGAGAAATAAAAGTAAAAGGACTTCAGCTAAGTAGACATTTAAGTGTCTACTAAGAATAAAACACAATGTTAAATGTGTGGACATTTAAAACAAGAAAAAAGATTAATAGAAACAATCCCTCCCCACAAGGAGCTTTTGTAGGGAATAAGACACAGTGTCTGTGACATTCACGCAAGGCAGAGGGTAGTAAGTGCTGTCATAGGAGTGTATGTAGGTGATGGGAAACTGAGGGGTGAGATACCAGCTGAAACACTCATGGTTTTGTGAACATCTCATTGAAATATTTGGTAGTGTTTCAGTCAGTGATAAATTGCAGCAAACACAAAAAAGGATGCAATAATTTTTTTCCTCTCAATTCAGGAGAGATCAGTGACAGTTGTCCAGTTTATCCAGTCATCACTGCTAGATTGTCCTTATCAGAGTCAACAGAAAGTTTCCATGAGCCTAGCCAAGAACTGAAGTTTTCTGTGGAGCAAAGAAATACCAGAAACAGAGAGAACTCTCCCTCTTCCCAATCAGCTGGTCTTTCTAGCATAAATAAAGAAGGGGAAGAGCCAACCAGAGGCAATAGTGGGTCTGAAGCCTGTACTAGTTCTTTTCTAAGATTGTCTTTTGCTTCAGAAACCCCTTTGGAAAAGGAACCCCACTCTCCAGCTGACCAGCCTGAACAACAGGCAGAATCCACTTTGACATCAGCTGAGACTAGGGGAAGCAAGAAAAAGAAGAAACTTCGGAAGAAGAAAAGTCTACGGGCTGCCCATGTTCCTGAGAATAGTGACACTGAACAGGATGTTTTGACTGTTAAACCCGTAAGGAAAGTAAAAGCTGGAAAGTTAATTAAAGGGGGGAAAGTAACAACCTCCACTTGGGAAGACAGCAGGACTGGTCGGGAGCAAGGGAGTGTCAGAGATGAGCCAGATAGTGACTCGTCTCTGGAAGTCCTAGAAATTCCTAATCCTCAGTTAGAAGTAGTAGCCATTGATTCTTCAGAATCAGGAGAAGAGAAACCAGACAGCCCATCTAAAAAGGATATTTGGAACTCTACAGAGCAAAACCTGCTAGAAACTTCTCGTTCTGGGTGTGATGAAGTTAGCTCGACCAGTGAAATTGGCACTCGCTATAAAGACGGCATCCCTGTAAGGTAAGAGTATTGTATTGGTCCAGTCAGAAGAACTTTCACCAACTTTATTTTTTTTAAATAGAATTTTAAATTATGAATCAGAATTTATTTAAAAATCAAAATTTACATGAATGCAGCAGGGATTGTGGACGTGGAAAAATTAAAGCTCGGCAGTAGAGATTTTCTGCTTTCTCTTTTGACTGTGTTATAAATATTCACTCCGCTTTTATTTCCCTTCCTTTAGAAATTTCAGATGGAAAAACTAATTTCTTATATCATTGCTACTTCGCCCATTGTTTAGAAAAATCCTTTGAGTCAGGAAATTTTTACTTTTGCTACCCGCCCTGTTCACACAGATGCTGAGAACACTTTTGCTATTATTTTGTAGTGTGGCAGAAACTCAGACTGTGATCTCTTCCATAAAAGGATCAAAGAATTCTTCAGGTATTTGCTGTTCAGTTTTATTTAAATTAACCACAGAATTAAAAGCCTTGTAAATATTAAAGCCAGAATTTAAACTACTTAAATATATTTATAGAATAAGAGAATGGGGATGGGTTTATCACCAAGAGGATTGCCTTGATCAACAGTTCTGCTATTCTTAAAACCTCAAATTCTGGTCTTTCAGATTCTTATTTTCATCTGTCTTATTGATTGATTGATTGATTGTAACGGAGTCTTGCTTTGTCACCTAGGCTGGAGTGCAGTGACATGATCTCTGCTCACTGCAACTTCCACCTTCCAGGTTCAAGCAATTCTCCTGCCTCAGCCTCCCAAATAGCTGGGACCACAGGTGCGCGCCATCATGCCTGGCAAATTTTTTTTTGTATTTTTAGTAGAGACAGAGTTTCATCATGTTGGCCAGGCTGGTCTCCAACTCCTGGCCTCAAGTGATCCTCACGCCTCAGCCTCCTAAAGTGCTGGGATTACAGGTGTAAGCCATCATGCCTGGCCCTTCTAATCTGTCTTATCCAGCTCCCTTATCTGTTCAACTAATTAGTATTAAGGTTTCATTGGCTCTGAGGATATTTGCTTTCAGAAGGAACTGCTTAAGGAATACTACCTTACTCAAAGAAATAACTTTTTGGAAGTGTGGGAGAGGTTGGGTACCTTCCAAGTATCACTCAAAGCTTTTATTTATTTATTTGTTTGTTTGTTTTTGAGGCAGAGTCTCGCTGTGTCGCCCAGGCTGGAGTCCAGTGGTGTGATCTTGGCTAACTGCAACTTCTGCCCCTGGGTTCAAGTGATTCTCCTGCCTCAGACTCCCTAAGTAACTGGGACTACAGGCACACACCACCATGCCCAGCTAATTTTTGTATTTTTAGTAGAGACAGGGTTTCACCATCTTGGCCAGGCTAGTCTCGAACTCCTGGCCTCAGGTGATTTGCCCACCTCAGCCTCCCAAAGTATTGGGATTACAGGTGTGAGCCACCACACCCAGCCCAAAAGCTCGTTATATAATTATCTATCTTTTTCCTAAGTGAAAGGCCTTTGCTTATTATGCAGTCTTCATAGTGAAGATGTGTAATCAGAATTGGAGTAGTCTGATAGGGGAACTAAACTTTAAGGGGATCTACTTTTGGTTTAATCTAGGGACTGCTGTATTGTATAATAGTTCTGATTTTTGAGGGTCTTTTCAGACTAGCAGACATGTCTCTGAAACCTACTCTTGTTTTCCAGAAATCTCTTCAGAGCCAGGAGATGATGATGAGCCCACAGAAGGAAGCTTTGAGGGGCACCAAGCTGCTGTAAATGCAATTCAGATATTTGGGAACTTACTATATACCTGTTCAGCAGATAAAACTGTCCGGGTTTATAATCTGGTGGTAAGTTGATAGAACATGTAGTATGTTTTTGGTTGCAGGTTTTGGAAAATCCAGTTTATACTCTTTTAAACAATAAAGGGAATTTGTTGGCTCTCTGGAGGAAGGGGTGGGCCTTAGATTGACTTTAGATGCATTTGATCCAGTAGCTCCACAAGGTCATTGGGGACTTAATTTCTTTTTGTCTCTCTACTCTGCCTTCTCTGGTATTACCTGTTTCTGAAAGCTAGTTCCCCTCCTGATCACAAAGTAAATGTCAGGAGCCGCTGGGGTCTCTTTTTCCCTCCCACCAGCAAAAAAGGGTCCTGTGTTTTATTCCCTGAACGATCACTTTTGCCTGTGGCAAAAGGGGGTTGGGATTACACCAGTGGTCTTGGACTGTTCAGGTCCCAACACTGGAGTTGGTAATGGGGTCACTTGCGTAGCAGCTACATAATAGAGGAAGGATGAAGTGAATATGGGGAAGTATTGGAGGAGGTATTTTCCCTGACAAGTGATTGATTACAGAGTTCAAGTTATTAAGGAGAGCAACACTTTTCTACTACCTCACACTTAGTATTATCTGATGCTTGTTACTGTCAAAAGAATGAACTTTTGAGTTTTGAATTTGAATTTGTTCATAAACTAATTATGAACAATGACAGCTTAAGAAATTTGAGGAACATGATGTTGTCTGAATGAACACCATGAAAATATTTAAAATTGCTAGAGTCAGTGAAAATTAAAAAGTTAGATGATGGACCAGGAAAATGTGTTTGCTATAGGCAACAGGTATGTAGATTCCTTTAGCTTAATGATATGAGGATGAACACGAATGACTGAAAAAAGGAAGCAATACTACCAGGATGTATAGGTGTAAGATCTAGGGGAACAGGATATCAAAATATGTATGTGTATGTATACATGTACATTGTAAATAGATCTCAGTATGTGCACTGAGATAACATTTGGAATGTACCCTTAAGAAACAACACCAGAGGCCGGGTACAGTGGCTCACGCCTGTAATCCCAGCACTTTGGGAGGCCGAGGCGGGTGGATCACGAGGTCAGGAGATCGAGACCATCCTGGCTAACATGATGAAACCCCGTCTCTACTAAAAATACAAAAAACTAGCCAGGCGTGGTGGCGGGTGCCTGTAGTCCCAGCTACTTGGGAGCCTGAGGCAGGAGAATGGCGTGAATCTAAGAGAGAGAGCTTGCAGTCAGCCGAGATCGCGCCACTGCACTCCAGCCTAGGTGACAGAGCGAGACTCCATCTCAAAAAAAAAAAAAAAAAAAAGAAAAAAAGAGAAACACCACCAGAGCCACTAGACCTGTGATAGCACCTGATATGTTTTTGAATACCATGGTGCATTCTCACAAGCTGCTTATCAAATGCACATCTGTTGTGGGTAATTAGCTACAGTTTGGATTTGCTAGGTCCTTGGTCCATGTCAGAAAGCTTTGCCCTAAACATTAATTAAAATTCTGGCTATCTTACAGTGAATTGTCGTAAATATTTTTTGGTATGGCTCAACTAACATATACTTTCAGATACCTCATTGCCTATGACTCTTTGCTGGGCATTTGGTGAACATACATTTACTGAACATCTTTTGCGTACCAGGTGCTGTTTTAGACACTGAGGATACAGCAGTGAACTGAATGTTTTGGCATCTTTTTTTTTTTTTTTTGAGGAAATATATTATCTAATCCTTCTATATCTTATAAGTAATAATCTGGTCTGTGCTTAAACTTTAGAGTCGGAAATGTGTTGGTGTCTTTGAGGGCCATACCTCGAAAGTGAACTGCCTCCTGGTGACTCAGACCTCTGGGAAGAACGCTGCCCTTTACACCGGCTCCAGTGACCATACCGTCCGCTGCTATAATGTTAAGGTAGGTGGGTCCAGAGAAATCCAAAGTGGTTCATATTGAGTCGCTTTGTATTTACTGTGTGGAGTGGAGACACTGGCAGATGCTTCATTCTACCCACTGTCTCCTTTTCGCTTCTAAACAATGTTTAGCACATTGTTGTAGCTTTAGGTAGATATGAGACTTAGACATAAACTGTATTTTCTGTCTCCACCAGTATTTTTTCACTTCCTACTATTAATAATATACCTTCCTTTGTCTTTGCCACAAATGTTATGCATATCATATATCAAAATTAATCCTAGATAGAATAAAGAGAAAAATGTAGGCTGGGTGTGGTGGCTCACGCCTGTAGTCCCAGCACTTTGGGAGGCAGAGGTGGGTGGATTCACCTGAGGTTGGGAGTTCGGGACCAGCCTGATCAACATGGAGAAACCCCATCTCTACTAAAAATACAAAATTAGCCGGGTGTGGTGGCGCATGCCTATAATCCCAGCTACTTGGGAGGCTGAGGCAGGAGAATCGCTTGAACCCAGGAGGCGGAGGTTGCAGTGAGCCGAGGTCGTGCCACAGCACTCCAGCCTTGGCAACGAGCGAAACTCCGTCTCAGAAAAAAAAAAAAGAGCAAAATGTATAAATTTTTTAAATCTGAAGAATTAGAAATGGACATCTCCTCTGAGAGTTTTTTAAACTTAAATGCACTGAAAGAAATGAGAAAATTATGTTTAAAATTATATACAGTATGTTCTTAATTTCTTTAAAAGATGGAGATACATGAAGCAGAATTTATAAGGCTATCATTAAGTTTATAACATAGATGGAATATATGTGATAACAGGAACATAAAGAAGCGGGAGGGGATGGAGCTGTGCTAGAAGAAGGTTCTTATATTTTACTGGGAATAAGTACTAATTTGAACTAGATTGTTACAATTTTAAAAATGTAATCCCTGGAGGCACAGGCTTACAACTTTAGTGTGCATCACATTGACCTGGACAGCTCGTTAAAACACATAATACTGGTCCCCACTCCCAGAGGTGTTTTTTTGTTTGTTTTTTGTTTTTTTAAGAGACAGGGTCTCATCATGTTGCTCGGGCTGGTTTTGAGCTCCTGGAGTCAGGCAATCCTCCCACCTCGGCCTCCCAAAGTGCTGAGATTATAGGCATGAGCCACCACACGCAGCCCTTCCCAGAGCTTCTGTCCAGTAGGCTTGGGGTCAAACTCACAAATTTACATTTCTAGGCCAGGTACTATGGTTCATATCTGTAATCCCAGCACTTTGGAAGACCAGAGCAGGAGGACTGCTTGAGGCCAGGAGCTCAAGACCAACCTGGGCAACATAGCAAGACCCTGTCTCTATAAAAAAATAAAAATGAACTGGATGTGGTGGCTCACACCTATAGTCCTAGCTGTTCCGGAGGCTGAGGTGGGAGGATCACTTGAGCCCAGGAGTTCAAGGTTATAGTGAGCTATGATTGTGTCACTTCACTACAGCCTGGGTGTCAGAACAAGAGCCTACCTCAAAAAAGCATAAAAATTAACCAAAACAACCAAAAAGAATTTACACTTCTAATAAGGTATTATGTGATATTGATGGAGATGGTTTGGGGACCACACTTTGAGAAATACTGCCCTAATTACTAAACTAATAATGAAAGAGGATCATGAGGTCAGGAGTTCGAGACCAGACTGACCAACCTGGTGAAACCCCGTCTCTACTAAAAATACAAAAATTAGTCAGGTGTGGTGGTGCACACCTGTAATCCCAGCTACTCGGGAGGCTGAGGCTGGAGAATCACTTGAACTGGGAGACGGAGATTGCAGTGAGCCAAGATCATGCCACTGCACTCCAGCCTGGGTACCAGAGCGAGACTCCTTCTCAAAAAAAAAAAAAAAAAAAAAAAAAAGAATAATGCAAAGAAATTGAGCTTAGAAAGTCAGTTGAGGGATTAAAATGGCAAGCTAAAAATATACTTAATACAAGAGAAGGTAGAAGGAGAAATAGAGGAATAAAAATGAGACAAATAGAAAGCAAATAGCAAATTGGAGACCTAAATTTACCCATATTTAATAATTATATTAAATGTGAGTGAACTGACACTAAAATCAAAAGGCAGAAATTGACTGGATACAGAAGTAACATCAAAATCTTTGTTGTCTACAAGAGACACACTTTTATTTTTGAGACACGGTCTTGGCCTGTCACCCTGGCTGGAGTGCAGTGGCGTGATTATAAGTCGCTGCAGCCTGGAACTCCTGGGCTCAAGTGATCCTCCTGCCTCAGCCTCCCGAGTAATTGGGATTACAGGCACACATCACTATGGTTTGCTAATTAAAATTTTTTTTTTTTTTTTTTTTTTTTTTTTTTTTTTTTTTGAAACAGGGTCTTGCTATGTTGCCTAGACTAGTCTGAAGCTCCTGGGCACAAGCAGTCCCCCTGCTTTGGTCTCCCACAGTGCTGGGATTACAGGCATGCACCACCATGCCCAGCCAAAGAGACTGCTTTAAATGTAAAGACAAAATGGGTTGAAAGTAAAAGAATAAGAATGGAAGAAGATACACTATCCAAATAGTAACAGAACTGGAGTGGTTATGTTAATATTGGGCAAGTAGACTTTAAGACAAGTGACTGAGCACTGTGGCTCATGCCCGCATCCCACTTTGGGAGGCTAAGGTGGGAAGATTGCTTGAGACCAGAAGTTCCAGACCAGTTTGGGTAACATAGTGAGATTCTGTCTCCACAAAAAATGAAAAAGTGAGGTAAGCATGGTTGTATGTACCTCTAGTCCTAGCTACTTGGGAGGTTGAGGTGAGAGGATCATTTGAGCTGAGGAATTTGAGGTTATAGTGAGCTATGACAATGCCACTGCACTCCAGCCTGGGTGACAGAGCGAGACACTGTCCCTTTAAATAGTGAAAAGGACAATACTACTGGAGAAAGGAGGACGTTCCATAATGATGAGTCAGCACAGCCAAACGATATAACAATTATAAGTACAGGTACCTAATAACAGAACTCTAAAATATATGAAACAGTTACTCATAGAACTGAAAGGAGAAATAGACAAATTCACAATTATAGTTGGGGACATCAACAACCCTTTCTCAATAATTGATAGACTACTAAATAAAAAACCGTCAAGGATATATAAGAACTGTACAACACCAGCTGGATGTGGTGGCTCATGCCTGTAATCCCAGCACTTTGGGAGGCTGAAGTGGGTGGATCACTTGAGGTCAGGAGTTTGAGACCAGACTAGCCAACATGGTGAAACCTCGTCTCTACTAAAAATACAAAAAAATTAGGCTGGATGTGGTGGCTTACGCCTGTAATTCCAGCACTTTGGGAGGCCAAGGTGGGCATATCACCTGAGGTCAGGAGTTTGAGACCAGCCTGACCAACATGTTGAAACCCCCTCATACAAAAATTAGCCAGGTGTGGTGCTCGTGCCTGTAGTCCCAGCTACTTGGGAGGCTGAGGCAGGAGAATTGCTTGAACCTGTGAGGCAGAGGTTGCAGTGAGCCAAGATTGTGCCACTGCACTCCAGCCTGGGCAACAGAATGAGACTCTGTCTCAAAAAATTAACAAACAAAAATAAGAATACAAAAAAATTAGCCGGGCCTGGTGGTAGTGCCTATAATCTCAGCTACTCAGGAGGCTGAGGCAGGAGAATCACTTGAACCTGGGAGGTGAAGGTTGCAGTGAGGTGAGATTGCGCCACTGTACTCCAGCCTGGGCAACAGAGAAAAACTTCGTTTCAAAAAAAAAGAACTGTACAACACCATTAACAAATAAGATCCAATTAGCATTTATAGAACACTGCACTCAAAATTGCAGAATACACATTTTTTTCAAGAATGCGCACATAGACATTCACCAGGACCCTCATACTGGGCTATTAAATAAGTCTCAATCAATTTAAAAGCACCAAGATCATACAGAGTATGTTTTCTAACCACAGTGACATTTATTAGAAAGCAGTAACAGAAATCTTGGAAATCCCCAAATATAGGGAGATGAAAATAACATACTTCTAAATTATGGTGGTTCAAAGAAGGAATCACAAGGAAAATTAGAAAATATCTAACTAAATGAAAATGCAACATATCATTTGTAGGATGCAGCTAAAGCATTGCTGAAAGGGAAATTTGTGTTTTTAATTGCTTCTATTAGAAAAGAAGAAAGCTTTAAAATTCAAGAAACTACAAAAAGAGGCTGGGCATGGTGGCTCATGTCTGTAATCCCAGTGCCTTGGGAGGTTGCGGTAGGAGGATCATTTGAGGCCAGGAGTTCAAGCCTAGCTAGGCAACTTGTACAAACCTGTAAAAAATTATTCAAACTTGTGAAAAAAAATTGTAAGCATATTTTGGCAAGAAATAGTCTTACATAAAAACAGGGGAAAAAGCTGTAACTTAAGATAGGACAAACATAGGTTTGGTATATGTTGTAAGGGGCTTACACCTTTAAATTCCTACAGCCAGGTGCTATGGTTCTTGCCTGTAATCCCAACACTTTAGGAGGCCAAGTCGGGAGGATCCCTTGAGCCCAGGAGTTCAAAACAGCCTAGGCAGCAATTAACTAGGCGTGCGTGATGGCCCACACCTGCAGTTCCAGCTACTCAGGAGGCTGAGGTGGGAGGATTCCTTGAGCCCTGGAGGTCAAGGCTGCAGTAAGCAGTAATCACGCCACTGCACTCTAGCCAGGAGACAGAGGGAGACCTTGTCTTTCAAAAAACAAATAAATAAATAAATCCCTAAACATACACTGACAAAAAACAAGCACGTCTCTTAAGAAATACAAATAACTGAAAAAAATACAGTCTTGCAAATAAATGCAAATTAAAATTGAAGTACAAGGAATACCATTTTTACTCATAATATTAGCAAAAAAATTTTTAAAAAGCTTTTCAGTATTAAGGGTTCTAATGTGTAGTGTTTGGCATAGCAGGACTGTACACTAGTGAAAAAGATTTTGTAACCATTATTTGGCATGGAGACATAACTTCATACAGTAAAGCACACAGATTTTAAGTATACAGCTTGCAGAAAAGCAGATATTTGTTTGTATAACTACCACAAAGATCAAAACATAGACCATTTCATAGCCCTGAAGCTTCCCTCAAATGCCTCCCTAGGCATAACCTTCTTCTAAAGCTAATCACTATTTTGGATGACTTTTGTCTGTGCTTGGCTGTCATGTCAGTATAACTATACCACATGTATTCTTTAATGTCTAGCTTTAGCTCACCATGATGTTTGAAAATTCATCTGTATTGGTATATGTGCCAATAGTTCGTTCTTTTTTTATTACTATGTAATGTTCAATTTCCCCTATAAAGTTAAAAAAATCTCATATGGATTAACTGGAAGCAACATGAATCTTAATATTTAGGCATATTCACTGTGTTTTGCTATATCTTACAATTTCATATATGGCACTTATGTTTGTAATTTTTTCAGGGGAGAAATTGAATAATTTAAGTGACTGACTCTTTTAGGTATGAAAGAAGGCTGGGAGAGGAGATCAACGGGTTTGACAACCCACAGCTTTTCTCATCCTACCTACAGCTTGTCCTACCCTACCCAATTATAACCATCTTGATTTTAACATCTAGTGCCAAGCCCACTTAAAAAGCTACCCCTGGGTCTTTAGTAGCCTTCCACAATAAAAGTTTTTATTTGTTTGTTTGTTTGTTTGAGACAGAGTCTTGCTCTGTGGCCCAGGCTGGAGTGTGGTGGTGTGATCTTGGCTCACTGTAACCTCCACCTCCCGGGTTCAAGCAATTCTTCTGCCTCAGTCTCCCGAGCAGCTGAGACTACAGGCGTGTGCCACCACGCCTGGCTAATTTTTGGATTTTTGGTAGAGATGAGATTTCACCATGTTAGCCAGGATGGTCTCGATCTCCTGACCTCATGATTCACCCGCCTCGGACTCCCAAAGTGTTGGGATTACAGGTGTGAGCCACCGTGCCTGGCCTCAACAACAAACTTTGAATGTACTATTTCCTGGCCCAATTCTTGGTTCTAGGTAAAGAGATTTGCTAGTATAATCTAGTTGGAGGAAACTGATAGAAATCGTTTTTTGAAGGTCAGATCAAACAGTGGGTATTAAACCTGCATGTACATCTGAATTAGTAGGGAAATTTTTTACAACACAGATTCTAGAGCCCACTGAATTAAGACTCTCAGGGATGGAGTTGGAGCTTGGGTTCTATATATTTTAAAAGCTTCTTGAGTAATTTAGCCCAGCTAACCCAGCACCAGTTTGAAGGAGGCATTTGGGAGCTATTGAAATAGAGAATAAGTTGCAGAAAACCACATATTGATTAGTGCATTTATCAAATATGTAACTCTAATCCTGATTTTCCTCTTTAGATGTCAAAATACAGCTTTGTCTTTTATATTTGGCCTCTTAATTTAAGAGGCTAAGACCCAACTCATAGTGCCCTTTGAAAAATCTCTACATTCTAAGTTAGAAACATGGGTAACATTACTAGAATTTATGTTTATTTTCACATTACCTACAGCTTGGGAGTCTTTGGCCTCATATTTCAAAGGAAAAACAGATCTAAGATAGTCCCATACACAATAGAGGATGTCACATTTTCTTCCACATAAGAGTCATTTTAAAGTCTGCTTCTGGAGGAACTGTTTTTGACATCTCATTTGCCAGTACCCTCTGCTGATTCAAGGTTGTGTGCTTTTATCAGAGCCGAGAGTGTGTGGAGCAGTTACAGCTGGAAGACCGGGTCCTCTGCCTGCACAGTAGGTGGCGAATCCTCTATGCGGGACTGGCAAATGGCACTGTGGTCACCTTCAACATAAAGGTTAGTGGTTGGAGAGAAAAGGCTTGAAGCTTCCCATGCTACTTGAAAATAGTGTGAGCCTGTGTGGGAAGAAGTAGCAGGCAGGGATTTTCCTGTTTTCTTCTGTTGGGAAGCAGCAGAATCAGCCACTACTCAAACACAGTTATCTTCTGATGTAAGTGAAACAAGATCCTCCATTCTCTCTGTTTCTACTCAAATGTGCCAGGACCAAAATGTAACTCCACTAAATTAAACCAAGCCTGAAGATTTGGGGCCAAATAATGAGTCATGGATTAAACTAGTCTGTCTCAACTTAAGAATGACATCATAAAAAATGAACTTAAGTGCTCACTTCGACAGCACATACACTAAATTTGGAATGATACAGAGAAGATTAGCATGGCCCCTGCGCAAGGATGACACGCAAATTCATGAAACATTCCCTATTAAAAAATAAATGAAGAAAAATGAACTTAAATTCCATTGAGTATGACATTGGTGTGGTTTGGCACTGGTTTAGGGTTTCATGAGGGCGGTCCATCTGTGAGGTGAACTGAGAGGTTTGCTGTAATGCCCGAATGGCTTCATTCTTTCCTAACCCAGAGAGAAATTCATTTGTTGACCTAGCCTTTATTGAGCATCTGTTATGTGCTAGGCCCCAGGATAAGGTTTAGTTTTTGATGGCCCTGTGTGCTTTGATAAGGTAGTTGGACTTCATCTTACAGGCTTTAAAGTATGAGAAACATGATCCCATTATGTTTCAGGAAAAGTCACTGGAGTTGATAAGATTGGGAAAGATTGGTATTAGCAAAGGCAGGTAGACCATTTAGGTGGCTTTGTAGTAGAAGCTGACATGAAAAAGGTTAAACAGAATGAAGAGAAGGGAATGGAGGAAAGATATAATCTAAGAGGTAGAATTGATAGGTTTGATTGCTAATTAATTGTGGCACCATATCCCCTGGTCATCTTGTAACCATGTGTTAGAATGGTACTATTACAGTGTCATTCATAGGCTACATGCTAGCTGGAACTAACAGATGTGCATTAAAATATGTCATGGTTTCTGCCTACAGGAAACTTAAAAATCAAGTTAGAAGAATCTAGTGTGTATATAATCAAGTGCCAAGTGATTTGGTCTATTTGATATGATACATCACAGAAGGGCAATTAGTGAAGATTTTTGCATTCTAGATGCAGACAAGTACTAAGTCTGATTAAATTGGATTAAGGCAATAGAAATGTAGAGGAAAGTAAATTTAAAATATTTTAAAGGCTAAAATGTGATAATTACCTAATTATCTTCTCTTTTGTGAGATTATCAGAAGTAGACAGAAGTGGCTGGATATGGTGGCTCATGCATATAATCCCAGCACTTTGGGAGACTGAGGTAGGAGGATTGCTTGAGCCCAGAAGTTCGAGACCAGCCCAAGCAACAAAGCAAGACTCCTGTTTCTCAAAAAAAAAAAAAAAAAAAAAAAAAAAAAGATTTTTTAACTATTAAAAAAAAAAAAGGCTAAGTATGGTGGCACACGCCTGTATTCCCAGCTACTCAGGAAGCTGAGGCAGGAGGATTGCTTGGGCCAGGACTTCAAAGCTGCAGTGAGCTATAATCACACCACTGTACTCAAGCCTGGGTGACAGAGTGAGACGCTGTCTCTCTCTTTTTTTTTTTTTTTTTTTTAAGTAGTAGACAGAAGTAAGGAGCAAGACAATCCTGAGGCAAAATGATGAGATGATGACAAGAAATTCAAATGGAGAAGTTCTTTGAAGGATTGAAAAGCCCTGGAGAAGATGGTCCTAGAGACAGACATTTGAGAATCTCTGCATAGATGCGAATTTTGAAAATGAGGGCTGGGCTTTTTCCTAGTTTGTCCATACTCTTAGAATGTAGTGCTTCTGGAGTCACAACAGAAAACCAGGACTGTTTACTAGGGCCGGTCCACCTTTGGGTCCTGACCTCCATTCAGTCTGTCTCCCTAGCACTTCAAGATGGCTGAAATCATTGCTCAGCAATATAGGCTCCCAGTCTTTATTGAGCCTATCTGAGCAATGATCAGCTGCTTAGTTTTTAGAAGCCTTATTCCAGGCATGCACCTAAAGAACTTTTGTGGAATTGGGAGGCTTAATGAACAGGGTTGGTTGGGGGATGAAGGAAAGAAGTGTAAAATCTGAGATAAAAGAATGTTTTGGGATTCAGGATGTGATCCTGCCACTCTGGTATAATTAGGCTTCTATAGTCTACTAAATGATGACAGAGATGACATGGAGCCAGGTGCCAGAAGAACATCATAATAAGGAGAATTTAGGCCAGGCATGATGGCTCACGCCTGTAATCCCATCACTTTGGGAGGCTGAGGCGGGCGGATCACCTGAGGTTAGGAATTCAAGACCATCCTGTCCAACATGGTGAAACCCTGTCTTTACAAAAATATAAAAGCTAGCCAGGTGTGGTGGCGGGCACCTGTAATCCTAGCTACTCGGGAGACTGAGGCAGGAGAATCGCTTGAACCCAGGAGGTGGAGGTTGCAGTGAGCTGAGCTGGCGCCACTGCACTCCAGCCTGGGCGACAGAGCGAGACTCTGTCTCAAAAAAAAAAAAAAAAAAAAAAAGTGGAGAATTTGAGACTTACTGAAATTGCCTAGGAAGGTAATTCTAAGTACAGATTTTTGGAAACAGCATGACACATAGATTGCCTAAATTTTGGATGACAGAAATAGTTCCTGGGTCCGTGTCAGGAAAAATGCACTAGAGTTTGGGGGGAAAAAAAAAAAGTTCACCTTTCATTATTATTAACTCACAGGTGGTGAAAGAGAACCAGTTTCTAATTAGGATGGGGATGGTGTGGGTTGAAATTATAAATGAGTTTCTAATGTAAGAGTTTGCCCTCCTCAGATCAGGGGATAGGGGAGGTTCAGCAAAGAGGGTTGGAGTGGGAAATAGCAGAGATGGATACATGAAGGCTGCAGAGTGGGTATGAAAATTTGAGTACAGGTGACAGAAATGAGAGTTTGTACCAAAGTAATGATTTTGGTTAATTGGTTTTGAAGTTTTCCAGCTAAGTTGTTTTTAGCTGTAATCTTGGCTTATTTTCCAGAACAACAAACGACTTGAGATCTTTGAATGCCATGGCCCCCGGGCAGTCAGCTGTCTTGCCACAGCTCAGGAAGGTGCCCGAAAACTGCTGGTCGTGGGCTCTTACGACTGCACCATTAGTGTACGCGACGCCCGGAATGGACTGCTCCTCAGAACTCTGGAGGGCCATAGCAAAACCATTCTTTGCATGAAGGCAAGTACAGTGCAGGAGAATAGGAGTTGTCTGGCACAAATAGAAGGGTTTTGAGGCCAGGCGGGGTGGCTCTTGTCTGTAGTCCCAGCACTTTGGGAGGGCGAGGCAGGGGGATCGCTTGAGCTCAGAAGTTCGAGACCAGCCAGGGCAGCATGGCAAAACTCCATGTCTCCAAAAAATACAAAAGTTAGTGGGATGTTGTGGTGTGCACCTGTACTACTCACTAGGCTGAGGTGGGAGGATTAGTTGAGCACAGAAGATCGAGGCTGCAGTGAGCCATGATTGTGCCACTGTACTCCAGTGTGGGCAACAGAGTGAGACCTTGACTCAAGCAAAGCAAAACAAAACAGAGAAGGGTTTTAAATGGCATTTCCCGTGTTGTCTCACACATCATTTAGAAACACCACCTCAGAAAGAGCGAGGAGATTGTGAACCTTTTCTTCACACCATCACCACCAAGTGATGCACTTTCCTTTGAGAAGCATTGAGTGTATTTTGTTATAGAGTGGGTATACTCGAATGCCTTTCTAGGCTGCTTCATAGTCATTCTGGAAAGGTAACAAACCTAATAATACATTATCAGTTAATTAGCATGCTTGGTAGGGGGGCACAGGTTTCAGCTAAGAAAATTTGTCTGAGAAACTTTTATACCTAGTTCATCGTGCTCATCTCAAAATAGGATGGAAATTAGAATTTACCAATGTGTTTTATAAGTTGTAGAGAAAATTGAGAACTGTGTACAGAATCTGACATGTTGAATTTTTTTCTTTAAGGTGGTGAATGATCTCGTGTTCAGTGGCTCCAGTGATCAGTCAGTCCATGCCCACAACATTCACGTAAGCTATGTTGGTGTTGTGTAAAGAAACCTTGAATAAAATAATGGTTAAAGCTTGATGGTTTTCTTAAACCTCTTGCAATTTAAATTAAGCCCTTTAATCCACCGAAGGGATTTGTCATCATCCCTATGCATGTGCTCTTGGATAATATTGTGTAACCTAGAAATTCTGCCTCATCAACGTTTTTAATGGTGGACAGACAGACTCAAAGTTTATGTAAGGTTTAGTTTGAATGCCCCATTTAAACTTGAAATAAACGGAACAGCTGAAGCTTTCAGAAAGTGGGTATGATATGTAGTTAAAATAGAACTAGTGAAAACAGCTGAGAGCTGGGCCCAATGGCTGTCACTGGTAATGCCAGCTACTCAGAAGGCTGAGGCGGGAGGATCACTTGAGGCCAGGAGTTTGAGATTAGCCTAGGCAAAATAATGGCCCTGTCTCTTAAAAAAATTTTTTTTAATAAGCTGGGCATGGCAGTGCGTCCTGTAATTCTAACTACTCAGGAGGCCGAGGTGGGAGGATTGTTTGGGCCCAGGAGTTCAAGGCTGCAGTGAGGTATGATCGCACCACCGCACTCCAGCCTGGGTGACCAAGTGAGACCCCATTTCTTTTTCTTTTTATCTTTTTTTTTTTTCCCCGAGATGGGGATCTCACTTTGTCACCCAGGCTGGAGTGCAGTGGTGCGATCTTGACTCACTGCAGCCTCAACCTCCTAGGCTCAAGGGATCCTCCCACCTCAGCCCCCCAAGTAGCTGGGACTAAGGGTGTGAGCCTCCATGCCTGGCTAATTTTTTCATATTTTTTTGTAGAGATGGGGTCTTTTGCCCAGGCTGGTCTTGAACTCCTGAGCTCAAGTGATCTGCCCACCTCGGCCTCCCAAAGTGTTGGAATTAATAGGCGTGAGCCACTGCACCCAGCCTGTGAGACCCTATCTCTTAAAAAAATGAACAACAGAAATAGCTGAGAGAGTGTTCTCAGGTCATAGAGGCAGCTACGTTCCTGGTCTATAACCTCAGAATAATAATTTGAAGCTCAGTTCCTGGTCTGTAACCTCAGAATAATAATTCCCAACTGATAGACTTGTGGTCTAGATCCAGTGAAATGAAAAAAGTAAAAGTACTTGGAAGGCTATAAATACAGGTAGAGTTTTGGCCGCTTTCTTTCCATGACATTAGAGTCTTTCCATCAGGATACAATCCATATATTTTGTATATGTAATAAATGATTATGGAATACTTCTGCTGTTAAAGTTAATACTATTAATACTATTTGTACAGTTAATGCTATTAATTGTATTAATTGTACATGTACAGTATTCTCAGAATTATGCCTCTTAGAATTATAGAATTATAACCAGGAAGGAGTCTCGAAAGTCAGTCTGGTGACTCTTACTTCTCTTCTGACAGACTGGTGAGCTCGTGCGGATCTATAAAGGTCACAATCACGCAGTGACTGTGGTGAATATCCTAGGAAAAGTGATGGTGACTGCTTGCCTGGATAAATTTGTTCGTGTCTATGAATTACAGGTAGAATTTAGATTCAGTATTTTGCTTGAATGATTTGGGGAGATTGTCTATTTGAGTTTAGTGTTGATTTTTGATACAGTAAGGTGGGATGGAACCCAGGAATCTGCATTTTCATGAGCTTTCTAGATAATTATAAAGCAGCTGGCCTGTGGACTGCAACTTTCAGAAACTGCTCTGAGACACTTGATCTGGGTCATGGGTGTCAAAACTTAATTTCTAGTTCTAGTTAATTTACAGTTCTCCTTGTGTGCAATTTCAAGTTTGAAACTCTGATTCTAACAAAATTGATTTTATTACTTCTAATTACCAGCTCCCTCCTTGTATAGTAGAACGTAAAAGAAAAATTGTCATTAGATTATATTTCTGTTAGAATGCTACTAGTGCTTCCACTTAGCGTCTCAGGTGTGGTTTTAAACCTGCCAAAGGCCTTTAGGGACTGTACTTATTAAACGCAAGGTATAAATAACTTTAATTCTTTCTTTTTTCTTTTCTTCTGCCTAAGTCTCATGATCGATTACAAGTTTATGGAGGACACAAAGACATGATTATGTGTATGACCATCCATAAAAGCATGGTAAGTGTTATTTGTCATGTCAGATATTTACTTTTGAATGTGTTTGCTAAAAAATTCTTGTCACTTCCAAAAGTGACATCTGCTTCTGATATGCCTCATTGTTAAGTACCTTCCCATCTCTTGGCATAATAGGGAAGTAACCAGGGGACAGTGTTGAATATTCCATTGTCTATTAACAGCCAAAATTATTACAATAAAAATGGTAGTATCAACTACAGTTAAATAGAAGGTAAATTTAAGATGCTTCAAAAAATTGAGTGGTGCCTTTTCCAGAGACATGCTCTGAATAGAACACTGGAATGGAGTCAGGAGATTTGGCCAGTGTGGCATGGCTACAGCAGATCTAAAAGTAGAAACCACCTCACACAACCCTGCTAAGCGTTTTTTTTTTTTTTTTTTACTTTTAAGTTATGGAGTTGAACCAGAATGGATGTTTTTCAAAGACTCTGAGTAGTAGAATCCTTTCTTTTCCAGTGAAATACAGGTGCCTAACAGAGCACCCGATAGAAAGCAGGGCTACCCCAGTTAAAGTAGAAAGGCCAGTGGGTGCCTCTGAGCCCTGCCACTCCTCTCTGCCCTGGTCCCGAGTGGCTTTCTAAGGAGCACAGCTGCAAAATACCTAGACTGGAAGATCTGGAAACCACTTTCCCATTCTACTACTCTGGAGCTGGTTTTGATTTAGGTTTTTGTTTTCTTGTAGCTGCTTCGAGGAGCTTGTGACTTGTTTTGAGGGTGTTTTGTAGTTTGTATGTATTTTGGTCTGACACTATAAACCTCTCTTTCTCCAGATTTACACTGGCTGTTATGATGGCAGTATTCAGGCCGTGAGGCTTAATCTGATGCAGAATTACCGCTGTTGGGTAAGGAGTGAAACTCTTCTTGTCACTGCACTTGGAGAGGTTGCTTCACCCTAGGCTAATTGATCTTCATTATCATCAGCATTTTTATATTTTAGCACCTACTTTATGCCTTACACTGTAGATCACAGGCTGTATCCTAGGTGGTTCTTTCGTTTATCATAAAATCAATACATGCTTAGAAAGCAACAGTACAGCAATATATGAAAGAAAAAGTGGAAGTGCTTATTTTGGTAATGGTACTGTCCCTTCTACTCCCGCTCATCAGAGATTACTAGTATTAATGGTTTGGTTTGTGTCCTCATTGGTTTTTGAGGAATAGGCAAATAAAAACAGTTTAAGGTCTTGTAAGTTCCAAACCTTAGTTCATCAGGCTGAATTGTGTGATTTTTATTTTGGGTGACGGCTAATGATTAACCCTTAAAATTTTCACACTATTTCTTATAAGCCTTAATTTTTTTTTTGTCAGTTCTAACAATGGTAGCTTTTCCCTAAAACCCTAAGATCCTTTTCAGCATTGATGGTATGAACTTGACACTCTCCATTTTAAAATTCGACTTTACACTTGTCCACAGCCTAGTGACTTTTCAGCTCTCTACACATTACTATCTTTGCTTTTTAATTTTCTCAGTGAAGGCAAGCAAAATCTAGTACAGTTCCTCTTTATCCAGGGGGGATATGGTCTATGTTTTTTTGATGTGGTAATCAAGAGGGCTAAGTGACTAACAGGCGGTAGCCAATATAGTGTAGATATGTTGGACAAAGGGGTGAGATGCAGTGGGATGGCAGGAGATTTCATCACACTGCTCAGAATAATGTGTAATTTAAAACTCAAGAATTGTTTATTTAGGGAATTTTCCAATTAATATTTTTGAAGATCAGTTAACCACAGGTAACTAAAACCTCAGAAAGTAAAACCATGGATAAGGAGGCACTACTGAATGACAGGATCCAGAGTACACAAATAGAGTTAATCTATAAAGAGAAATGGGGAAGATACCTCTGACTTTATAGAGAGAAGGATGGAGTAGTACTGACAGAGGAGAAACTTAACTTTGCATTACTTTTTTTTTTTTTTTTTTTTGAGACAGAATCTCTCTGTTGCCAGGCTGGAATGCAGTGGCATGATCTCAGCTCACTGCAACCTCCACCTCCGGGGTTAAAGCGATTCTCCTGCCTCAGCCTCCCGAGCAGCTGGGAACACAGGCACCCGCCACCACACCCAGCTAATTTTTGTATTTTTAGTACAGACAGGGTTTCACCATGTTGGCTAGGCTGATCTTGAACTTGCGCCAGGCCTGTATTTTTTCTTTTTTTTTTCTGCAGGGACAGGGTCTCACTATGTTGCCCAGGCTGGTCTCGAACTCCTGGGCTGAAGTGAACTACCCACCTCGGCCTCTTAAAGTGGTGGCCACTGAGCCACCACTTAGGAAGCATAAGACACTAGCTTGTGCTTTCTAATACATGAAATTAAGCTACATTTATAAGTAAAATTATAGCTTAAAAAAATAAGTAGATAATCGTAAGATTGAGATTCAAGTGATAAAGGCTGTGAGTAAAGTCACCATGGCAAACACAGTATTCTACAATAGATATTTCCACAAATGTAGTTTTCTTTATCAGACATTTTTATTTTCATGTTTACATTCAGTAGTTCTTAGAATTGTTAAAAATAGCCCTTTCGGGCTGGGCGCAGTGGCTCTCGCCTGTAATCCCAGCACTTTGGGAGGCCAAGGTGGGCAGATCACTTGAGGTTGGGAGTTTGAGACCAGCCTGACCAACATGGTGAAACCCTGTCTTTACTAAAAAAAAAAAATACAAAATTAACTGGATGTGGTGGTGCATGCCTGTAATCCCAGCTACTTGGGAGGCTGAGGCACGAGAACTGCTTGAACCTGGGGGGCAGAGGTTGCAGTGAGCCGAAATCGTGCCACCGCACTCCAGCCTGGGTGACATGAGTGAAACTGCATCTCAAGAAAAAAAAAAAAAAGGCCCTTTCGGTACAATAGGAAAAGTATTTGTCTTTTGTGTTAAATAAACTAAGAAAGAAACTCAATTTTATGATGGCAACATAAAAAATGCAGTTTAAACAGAATTTTATGGTAATTTATCCATAAATATTTGCTGACCTTTTTTGATTTAAGAAGTTGTAATTGCTAGTTAGTGCTTTGCCCTCTCAAAATATCAAAATAGCAAAAGATTTTTCCAGTCTTTTCAAGGTTCCTCGTTATGCTGATATTTTGGTTGCCTTGGCTTTGTTGTCTTTTCTAGTCAAGAATAAATTTGAAATAAGGGGCTGGCTTTTTGCTTCCATAGTGCCTATGGGATCCAGGTGGGGGCTGTTCTGATTCACGTTCACTGCACCCTTTTTCACCGAGTCCCCTCATTTTCTTTCTCTCCAGTGGCATGGCTGCTCTCTGATATTCGGCGTTGTAGATCATTTAAAACAACACTTGCTGACTGACCACACTAATCCCAACTTCCAGACTCTGAAATGTCGCTGGAAGAACTGCGATGCTTTTTTCACTGCTAGGAAAGGATCCAAACAGGTACGTTAGTTGGACTTGAGGTTCACCTGGGATTCAGTAGACTGCTGAGAGCAGGGGCTAGCAAACCTTTTTTGTTTTATTATTGAGAATTGCCATATATAGGGAGGGCCTATGTTTTTTCTTTTTATGATTCAGAGATTTGGGGGGTAGCTTAATGAAGTTTCACATGAAGAATTAGGTCATTTTTTAGAAAGGGCCTAGAGAATGTTTTCAGATGTTTCAAATCCAGTAACTGAACCTGGAGATTTATTACAGTGCTCTTGTGCTGAGACAACAGCTCACCTTTAAGTACACGCTTTCATGTAAGTTAGCGAAGTGCTGGCTCCTGACTGCCTTTCCCGTCTGGATCCTGGGTGGAATGGACCCACGCGGCTTTCCTTGGCTTTGACTTTCTCCTGTCTTACTCTCAACTTCTCTCTCATGGGTCCTTTTCCCTTCATTCCTAGGATGCTGCAGGACATATTGAACGACACGCTGAAGATGACAGCAAAATTGATTCATGAAGTTGTTTGCCTCCCACGTTGGGAAGTCATTAGTTGAACTATTTTCACATCAGCCCCCCGCACAGGCCACTCTCTTCCCTTCCTTGGTGAAGCAAGGAAGGAGAAAGTGGTTACTAGCCAGGCCCCTAGCATAAGTCTGGGCAGCTCTATGGGACAATAGATTACACTTTAAGTTCTTGCTGGAGGTTTTAAATAGATTTAGACAGATGTTAGGGAACCACACTCCTCTGGGACAGCATGGCATATAGTGATTTATGCTACTTGCGTTCTCCAGATGTTTATTAAAGATACAGATCCTAATTGGTTACCCAGTTTGACCCTAATCATATGTATATTTTATTGACTTCAGTTTGCAATGTTTAGTTTATATTCTTATGATGGTTAAACCTATAGTCAGGCTTTTAAGTACAAATTTGTTTAAGTGCTAGACTTTCGGGATCAGTTTTAATTTCTCCATTTGTAATAGCTGGGTATTTAAATTGGAAGCAAATAGTTTTCTTTTCTTTCTTAACAATTATGTGCAGTGTGTGTCCCTGTTTTCTTGCTTCATAGATGGACAGAGCTGGCTTTAAGTGCTAAAGGACACAGTAGATTTTTGACAAACAGTGGCTGCTCTGCTGACTGTATTTTAGGAATTCAGAAAGCAAATCACATGGTGACAAGTCCTTACAACACCACTTCCTAGCAAACCTCTGTAAATGTGGATAGAAAGCTCAGTGTGAGGCAGTGCGTAGACCTAATGTCTACCTTTACGTTTGCTGTTGAACTGAGCACTACCTGCCACAGATCCTGTCAGGCTGTTGCAGCTGGAGGTGTACCTTTATCTTCCTTTCTAGCATCTGACCCTGCAAGCCTAATGTCGGTTTGAACCCTTTTGGTTTGTTCAGTTGCCAGCCTCCATCTCTCCCACTATATGGCTGTGCCTAGACTGATGGCAGCCATCCAGTATTCCTCTGGGCTCATGGGTGTTTTCCACCCCTCTGCAGCACCCAAGATGGTGGGGGAGAAGGGGTTAGAATAAAGCATCTGAATACGGTTTTTAGGACCTCAAGCAGACTTCCTAGAGACTTGTTTCGGAGACGGTTCTTTGCCTTCACTTCCCTGCTAGGTGGGAAAGAAGAGTGGAGCAGAGACTCTGCCTGGCCACTGAGAACAGCCAAATTCACAAACCCTCAGTGGGGCTTTGTTTTTGGATTTTCTCCAGACTCATCAGTAGACCTGTAGAAGTGTTGCTTTCCAGCCTTTTGTTTCTGGATCCTCAAAACTCAAAGTGGCCAGGCGTGGTGGCTCATGCCTGTAATCCCAGCACTTTGGGAGGCTGAGGCAGGCAGATCACCTGAGGTTAGGAGTTGGTGACCAACCTAGCCAACATGGCAAAACCCCATCTCTACTAAAAATACAAAAATTAGCTGGGCATGGTGGTGTGTGCTTGTAATCCCAGCTGCTCAGGAGGCTGAGGCAGGAGAATCACTTGAACCCGGGAGGCGGAGATTGTAATGAGCCGAGATTGCGCCACTACACTCCAGCCTGGGTGACAGAGTGAGACTCCGTCTCAAAAGAAAAAAAAAAAAAAAAACCTCAAGCTTCTTGAGCCCCCTTCTAAAAAAAAAAAAAAAAAAAAAAAAACCTCAGAAAGCTTCTTCAGAGAGAGAAAATAAGGGGGAGGAGCCCAGGGCCACATACCAAGCTTTGGGACATGCTCTCTGGGATTGCAGAGCATCCAGGTCTGTCTTCACCCCTATTAGTGCACACACATCTACTCACATGTCTTCCCTCAGGCTATCAGGCAGGGGGACTTCACCAGGGGTTCATGGATAGGCTTCAAGAGGGTCTGTGAACCCCCAGAAATTGTGTGTGAGACTGAGTATGTGTTCTTTTTTCCAGGAAAGGCTCCAGTGGTTCTTAGTTGATCCAAAAAATGTTAAGAATTAATCTAGAAGGCTGGGCTTGGTGGCTCATGCCTGTAATCCCAGCACTTTGGGAGGCCGAGGTGGGTGGATCACTCAAGGTCAGGCATTTGAGACCAGCCTGGCCAACATAGTGAAACCCTGTCTCTACTAAAAATACAAAAATTAGCTGGGTGTGGTGGCGTGTGCCTGTAGTCTCAGCTACTTGGGAGGCTGAGACAGGAGAATCACTTGAACCTGGGAGGTAGAAGTTGCAGTGAGCCAAGATCCTACCACTGCACTCCAGCCTGGGCAACAGAGTGAAACTCCACCTCAAAAAAAAAAAAAAAAAAAAAAAAAAAGTTAATCTAGGAGATAATGAATGGCCTAGTACTAGATAATAAATGCCCCCACAAGCTCTTGACTTCTGTCCTTGGGGAAAGCCATTTTGTTAACCACACTAGTGAAATTTATGTGATGCTTAATGGAGAACAGAGAAGAGCTTGTTGCAAAAAATGTGTTAAATATTCGTGCTGTTTCTGTATGAGATTAAGAAGCTTTTCCCACCTCTCACCCTTGTTTCCTATAAGGATATCCAGAGAAGCCAAGCTGTTCTGTGTGTTTGGGAATGGTCGTTTCCCGGGAAGATGCATTTGGATCGATGACTAAACCTGGCCCTTTGGGCTGTAGTGAAGCCGCATTTTCATGCTGGCTGGCTGTGTGCTGAGAGCGCCTCGAATGCTCTGCGGCATCGTGCCCTTCTGCCCTGCCTGAGGATGTGTGGAAAAGATGAGAGTGGAGGAGCCTTTGTGCAGCAGGAAGAGGCTAGGTGAGGTGTCAGGCAGTTGTGGGGAACTTCTGAGAGTATTACAGACTGGTAGAATCAGTAAGAACTCCGATTTGGACTTCGCTTTGGTGGAACTGTGTGCCTGTATCTGCCTGTGTGTGTGCAAGTGCGCAGGTTCCTTTGTGTGCATGTGTACGCGTGGGAACCTGTACTTGTCATATTTTTCTTCATTTCACGAAGGCTTTTTTTGAAGCAGTGGCAGTAATAATGCCTTTGTTTCAAGAACACGTGAAATTCTTTGAACACCAGATTAGCATGTTACCCAAAATGAACCGTTCTAGCCCTCTGTTAAGAAATAAAGGGACCATAAGCATTTTGGCTGCTTATGGTTGTGTGTTACTACTTACAAGTGTCTTGAAAATTATGCAGAACTTTGCCTTCTTTTTTTAATGTCTTCCACAATGTCGTGAATGATTATAACCCTGTATCCCCTCAGAGAAGAGCTGTGGCTCAGGGATCTTTGTTGACTCTGACATTTAGTAGCTTTGTGAAGGAAACCATTAAGTGACCTGACAAAAACTGACTGATGTCTTTAAAGTAGTTGGAGCCACTTTTAGAATGTTATTCTTGGTGGCTTTTGCCTACTTCTAATGGCTTAAAGCCAAGAAAACCATAGTATAAATCCTTTTGTATACCTATGCTAGTGTTAAAATGGCAGTATGTTCTGATGAAGTATCAGTCACTTCAAGTTTTATGTGAAAGTTTTTAATTAGGTTAAAAATAATTTTGGCATACCTCTCTACTCAGTTTATAAAGCAATTCCACACAATGCAAACAAAACTCTTAACAGCAAAGGTTATCTTGACCTGATGTTACTTGAATTTGAGAGAAAGTCATTACTTACTACTGCACTCCTGCTTTTGTGGGAAAAACTTTTTTCTTCCCCAGAAGAGTTAACAGTTGAGTGTTCAGCTCCTGACTTACCTTTAATTTAGAAGCCATATTATTACTGTTTAAGTGATTATTTGCTTGCCACAGGTTTTATTTTGTCTTTTTTTCTGGTAGATTATACAATGGACAACTTTAGTGATGAGGCATGTGGATTTGGTGGGAGTAGGTATATACTTAGTGGAATGGTATATTTTATGGAAGAGAATTCATTGGAGGTGAGATTGAAGTATATTGTAAAGTGGGATTTGAACAGCGCATATGCTCTGGTTTGCTCAAATAACTGCAGTTTATGCTTACTTCTCAATTTTGTTTCTGTTACCTAAATGGGAGCTTCTAGAATTATGAAGGCCATACCTGCCACATTTATAAAATAATGGTTTTATCCCTGCCCCCAAATCATCAGGTTCCTCGGGTTTAAGAGAAGCGATCTCACAGACGGGAATAGAAGTTGTGGTGGAGGTGATTTGGGATAGACTGAGTTCCCTATGCAAGTGGATGTGAGCTCCTCATAGAAACCAGACCTACGTGTTAGACAGTAACCTCTAACCTCACCTCCAAGCCCAAGTGTACAGCCCTGCGGGGTTACCTGGTGACTGAATTTCCCAGATTCACTCTAAACTCAAGGTAGTGACCCAAATAAACTGGGAGAGGAGCGTGTCAAGGAGGAAAAGCTGTTGAAAATCTTTCTCCTATTTAAGAGAAATATATGCCCTAGAGCTGCTCCAGCACCCTTGGTTTCTGATTTTTTAAATATTGAATATGGATTACAAGAATGAAATCAGATGACTGCAAAAATGTTTATAAGCAAATAGCCTTCTTACATTTTGGTATAAAGCTGTGAACTTCGTAACTTTGTAAAGCAAGATATAAAGCAAATACAAGAGGAAAATAAAGTACTTTTACTAACTGACGGTTTACTTTCGTTACCTTGTCTGCATATTCATGGTCAGCCCTTTCCACATTGGCTTAGCGAGGAAGAAGGAAACTGGGTGGAAAACACAGGATGCCTGTAGATATGCCACAGGCCATGGTCCAGGTAAGTTTAGCAAACTGCTGCATCCAGGGTTTTGTCCACGGTCATACGACACGCCAGTTAGTGAGCAGAGGAGCTAGGATAGCTCAATCTCCACTCCATTACATTCAGGTAACTGGCCCCTCCCGTTGTACATAACCCATTTATTCTTGATGTCTTTTACAGCAACAACTATTCCTCTGCCTTCCTTTTATGTCTTGGAAAGTATTTGAGCAATTCCTATGCTCAAGAAATAGCAATAGGCATGATTAAAGGGGGGGTTCACGATTTTGTTTTTATGTGTGTTTTTCATTGTTTTCTTCTAGGTCATAGGTGAGTGTAGGATTGGAAGCCATTCAGTCATGGTATGGCTGATATCTGAATGTGAGACAACATAACACAAGGGGACTAACCATACACATGCCTTTATTTAGATCAGCTTTTTTCAAAATGCAGCCAAACTTACGAGTCGGACAGCCCAAAGTAACCAGCCCTATTCCACTGAGTGAGTTTACCCCACAGCAGGCCTCTCCTGAAATAACCAGGCAGAACCCAGTGCTGGTTTGGTTCCTGGCCCATGGTGGGAGAGCGTGAAGATGATGGAGGGCTCTAGCACAAGGGGGTGCTGAGTGCCACCGGCAGGTGCTTCTGCAGACAGCCTAGAGCAAGGTAAGCAGGAGCACTCGCTTCAGAACCAAGGCGGCTCAGACCAGAGGCAGATACTTTCCTCCACACGGCAGAGAGACAAGGGTTTGTTCTTCCTACCTCATTGCTTTACTAAAGGGCCAGGCTAGGCATGACTGATCAGGGATGAGGAGGGGGTAAAATGGAGGAGGAACAGGACTGATGAGGTGCCTGGAGGACTGCAGGGGTGCAGCTGCTGCGTCCTTTGAGGTAAGTGGCTTTGGAAATAGAGGGTGAGACGGAAATCCTGAGTGATCCTGCATGGCTTTGGATGAGGCCAGCCTAGTTCAGGCATACATGGTGAGCTGCAGCCACTGAAAGAAGTCCCAAGATCAGAACGTAGATCAGAAAAGAGTGACCCCGCACCCTAGGAATCTTACGGGGCAAGAGGAAAGGGAACAGTCCCAGTAGGTCACACCTCCGGAAGATTTTCCAAGAAGCAGTGGCTTACTGTTTCCTTCCTCCTAGATCTTCCCTAAGAAGGTGCATGTTTTCCAGCATCGAGTGACTAGGGGAGCAGAGGTCCCTTTGGGCCTCAAGTGCATGTGTCCTGTGAGCCCGCTGAGCCTCCCTCCACGTTCTGTTCCTATCCCCTCCCTCCACCACTGTGTGGAGATGAGCACACCGTGGGTCCAGTCTGCCTCGTTAACCTCCACCTTGCGTTTTAATGTGCAGGGGGAATGTGCTGTGCCTATGCTTTACCTCCAGAACGTTGAGTTTGATGATACCGTCTCCATCCTTGTCAAATGCATGAAAAGCTCCTGTGAAAGAAGGCACAGGCCACAGGCCAGTTACAGGTGCACTCTACCTGTACTACTGTAACTTCCCAAAGAGAACCATGTGCCCAGTGCTGTCCCTCATCAGCACAAAGATCTGCAGGCAGAGAATCACCAGCTTTGCCATCCCATTCTGGGCCTAAAGAGGGCCTTGGCCCTTGTTCCGCCTGGATGGGGCAGACTGGAGATGATCAGGTCAGATGCCTGTTGCCACAACGGCCCCTGCAAGACAGCGGAGGGCAGCCCCTCTCCCCAACTTACTGAACATGCCCTCCAGCCTGACGAAGCAGCAGATGAAACTGTCGAAGTCGATGTTCATGTGTTTGTCTGCGTACCGCATGGTAATGATGTCGTAGAGCTGGTTGTTGAGGTGGAATCCTGTGGAGGGGACCACGTTAAAGGGGGACATGGAGCTGGAGGCCTTGGGCCTGCCTTCTGTTTTCCTTGCCTTTCGGCCACCCTGTGACCTGGGAAAGGAAAATGAGAAGCCCTTTCCCTCTCCTTTCTCTAGTGGGGCCCTAGTAGCCTAGTCCCCACCCCATTCCTGCTCCCACCGCCTCGGGTCCACATCCCTCCCATCCCTTCCTTCTTAGCACCTGCGTCATTGACTGCATTTCGCATCTCGTAGCTGTTAATGGTGCCAGACTGGTCTGTGTCATAGTGTTTGAAAATTTTCTGGCAATAGAAAATTTGAGGATGGAGGTCACACACTGAATCTCCAAATCAACCCCGTTCTTCACTCCCACACTTCATTTTCTCTTCCCACCTGCCAGGCCTTAATCTTGTTCCAGAGGTGGTGGAATTCTTGCAGGTTGAGCTTCCCAGAGCCATCTGTCTGGAGGAGGGAGGTCAGGGCTATACAGCACATAGCAAAATCCCCCTGGATTTGGAGGGAGGGTCTAGAAGACTCCGCCTGGGCTGTCCTACCCACTGCCCTGTTGTGGTATGTAACCCTCCCCTCCACTCCGCCAGCAGTCAGAGATTGCACCTACTCTGTAACCCAGGGAGCCGATCTCCTAAGGGCCACCTTTGCTTAGGCAGGATCCCAGGCCTGAGAGAAGCACAGGGGTTAGGGCAATTACAACCCAACGTCCTCCCCTTCAGCCTCTAACAACCCCTTTCAGAGGAGTATCCAAGATGTTCTGAATCAAGTTCTGAATTAAGTGTTTTCCTGGGCACAAATTAGGGCCCTTTGCCTGACTGGGCACCCTGTGTGGTGTCTTGGCCCCCGTGGGCTGATGACAGAGGGTCGGGAAGGGGTGGCAGGAAGGATACATCCATGAGCGCAATCATGCTACGGCAGGACTCCAGTGTGAACCCGTGTGTCTTCAGGTCCTTGTCTGGGGGGATGGAGAAGAGTGAGAAGGTGCTTTGAGACAATGGGACTCCCCACCCATCCCCCACATTTGGTTTGAGCAACTCACGTTTGTTCACGACTGTGTTAAGGACCTTCTTGAGCTCATCTGCACAGATTTCCATGTCCTGAGGAGGAAGGGAGAGGAGGGTCATGGTTCAGGAGTACAGCAGCTCCTGGCGCAGACGCTTTGTAAAACAAATTCCAGCCGGCCGTGTTTGTGAAATCCCTGTCGGTGCTGTTATGTCATGGGAAGCTAGGGCTTTTCTGAGGAAGATGGGGGCCAGATACTGCACCCCAGCTATCAGGACCACCGTGGGCAGAGCAAAAAGGCCTCTGCGCCCACCAGTGGATGTGGCAGTCCAAAACTCAAGGACTTGTGGATTTGTGTGCTACACACGCATTCCCTGGCTCCACCGAAGTCCAAAATGACCCCACCAAACAGTAACAAAACAATTGGTAATCTGAGCAGTTAATCCAGGAGAGAAGCAGCACCTGTGGGCGTCCTGGGCTTGGAGGTACTCACGTCTCCTGCTATCTGCTTGAAAATGTTCCGGAATTGTTGCTGTTCCTCACTTTCCTGGTCAGAGCTGCCAGGCTGTGGCTGTGGAGGCACAAAGGAAAACTGGTTCACAGGGGTCAGAGGTGCACAGGCCTGAGGGGCAAGCTCCTCTGGGCCAAGGGAGCCAAGTGCCTAAAACGGCCAGAGGTGACAGCAGGAGCTGGGGACAGGGGCAAATGCAGACTGGTGAGCTGGAGTGAGATGCATCGAGGCCTCAGTGACACCTCACTCCACACCTCTCCAGCCCTGACACCCCCAGCCAAAGGAGATGTGGCGGCCATGCAGACACGGACAGCCTCCTCCCCACCACCCCAGTCCTCACCCGCAAGAGCCACCTCCACCATCCCAGGCCCGACCATTCCAAACAAAGGTGCCTGCAGGTCAAAGAAGGTCTGACTGTTCTGATTCCTCCAGCCACCCTGTCGTCAAGGCCAAGTCCTCAGAGAACCTCCCCTAGGCCCCAACGCATGAGGCCCTGGAGAGAAGAGGGTCCCCCGGATAGAAGAGGGGCCCTTATTGGTCTGAAGACTTTTGCCTCTAAGGCTCACCTCCACTAAGCACCCCACTCCAATCTAACACCCTCCCATGAGCTCTAGAGGACCCCATTTCTCATGTCAGCCCCACTTTCTGCTCCTATTCTTTATCCCCCTATTGTAAAATGCTCAAGGACACCAGGAGACAGGAGTTGTACCTCTGCTCTCAAGCTGGTTCTTTCTCAGCCCTTGCCTCCCCTTCTCTCTGTCCTGGCTAGTTCTGTCTCTGCCTTTGCCTCCCCTTCTCTCTGTCCTAGCTAGTTCTGTCTCTGCCTTTGCCTCCCCTTCTCTCTGTCCTGGCTGGATCTACTCTCAAACTGGTTCTGTCTCAGCCCTTGCCTCCCCTTCTCTCTGTCCTGGCTGGATCTACTCTCAAACTGGTTCTGTCTCTGCCTTTGCCTCCCCTTCTCTGTGTCCTGGCTGGATCTACTCTCAAACTGGTTCTGTCTCAGCCTTTGCCTCCCCTTCTCTCTGTCCTGGCTGAATCAGCTCCATGGGAGGTTCAGCCTGCCAGTCCACTCCTAGAATGGAACCCCCATCCTGGGATATTCACCCAAGCAGCAGCCCGAATTTCAGGGGAACTTGCTGAGAGAAAAGGTCAGTGGGACAAATCCAAACCTCTAGATGTTCAAGACAACCCCCTAGGAAGCCTCCAGCCCATGTATCCCAAGCACATAGGAAGCCCCCGTAGTGCGCTGGCCGCCCCACCCATGCCACGTGCTCAGACACCTGTGGGGACTGCTCTTGCTTATCAGGGCTTGTTTTGCCTTTGCCCTCCTCTGACTCCTGGTCCACACCCAGCTCCTTGTTGCTGTTTGCTCTGTCCGAAACGAAGATGATGGGCTGGAGAGAGGAGGGAAGGAGGGAGCGGGCAGGAAGGAAGTGAGGATTACAGTCTGAACAGGCACACTGAGGCAGCCTCTCTCTCGGAGCAGCTTTATCCAGTGAGAAGAGGAAAAGAACAGGCGGGAGCTCTTCAACCTCGGTTCAAGCTCT